TAGGGTAACTAGGGGGTTTAAAGAGGAAACTAAACTTTTAAGGCACCCTCGAGGGGTAATACTTACGCCTGTACCGTGGTAATTACGCCAATCTTTTAAGATTGGAAAGGAAGATTTCAATATTATGAATGCTTACCTATCCAAGCGTAAATTCGACTAGGTATTAAGAATACCCTTCGATATACCACTAAAAGCAAAGAGACAAATAGAACAATCAGTGCGCTGATTATTACTAGCCGCACGATTATTTATAGCCGACGTAGAAATTTCGAATACGGTTCACGAAAGAGATATATAGTTCTTCTTGTACCTGCTTCGTCCTTTTCCTTCACAAGCAGCAAGTTTATTCTCTCTCGACATCTCGCATCATCAAAAGACTTATACAAACACTGTTCTCTCTTGACATCTCGCATTATCAAAAGACTTATACAAACACTGTTCTCTCGACATCTCGCATCATCAAAAGACCTCAACAAACACAATGCTACGACCGAATTTTATTCTCGCGATCTTGATAGCCTTGAGCTTTCTCTTTGATAGAGCTCAAGCAGTATTCGGACTCCGTCCAGGAATGTTTCGAGGAGAAGTCATCGGCTATGCATCAGTTTTGGAAGTAAGTTTTAGTATTTGATTGATATGACATAAGCTTATGCTAATTACGCGAATCATAGGACGAGGCTATACGCATCAATCAAAACAATAAGCCATTTGTGGAGAACCCCACACGCCAAGCTCAATTAGGAGAAGGTTTTTATATGGGTAAATTGATCTATATTGAATCGTTACTTATTACGCGGAGCTAATAATTTAAATAGTAAGCAGGCCTGGTATCTGGAGAGGTATAGAAGGAGCGTGGTATTGTGCTGTCAGGGCGAATACGGAGAAGATGAAAGGAATCGACAAAATCTACATCCCGGAATATTATCGGGCAGTGCCTTCGAATAAACGGCAAAGGTTATATAGCCAAGGCGAAGATGTTATCATGGAATACCTCGCGTCAGAGGACTTATTAACACCTGGGGAAGCGCTGCGCTTTGGACCGATTTTAGGTTCTCATTCGCAATTGCAGATGCTTATTCCAACGACAGTGATAAATGACGATAAGTTGAGCCTATGGGCTAAATGCTTTAAGTCGGAATTTGAGCTGAGGGAATATACGAACGAGGAAATTGATTGGCAACATAGGGAAGATTGGGAGATTAAAGGAATACCGGTACCTGAGTAGCTCGTCGACTTTGGGCTGGATTTCTTGGGTGTAGCTTGGCAGAATCAAGTGTCGATATTCTGACTCGATCGGGGGCGGAATCATGTATTATATATGTATTGTATATCAAGGCAGTTAACGTAAATATTAAGCAGCTTCCGTAAACCAAAAGCGAGCTTGGAATTACTCTTAACGTTAAATTGAAAGCAGTGCATACGGAGGTACAGTGGTCATCTTTCGGTCCCTGTTTAGCGACCAGGCAAGGGTCCTTAATAGCGCCTGTCTTGATCGAGCAGTTTCTAAACTATTCACTGCAAGATGTAAACAACATAGCAATTCAGCAGTTCAATAAGATAAAGCCAGCAACGAAGCCTACGTTAATTAAAAGTATGCCAGCACGTTCTTAAGCCGTAATTGATGTCGAAGGCCGGCATATCAAATATCAATATATTAGTTATCGAATTCTATACAATTTTCAATGCCAATTTGTACCGAGAGCATTCATTACACATTTAAATTTAATCGAGGCTGCTCGCTAAACAAGGGACCGAAAGATAACCGCTGTAATCGTCGGTTACCTTGAATTGAATTTGTAAAAAATCCCGACCTGGCGCAGCCAGGTCTGCACCACCAAGGCGGGACAATAAAGGTATACCACTTATTAAACAACAACTATTATTATAAAAAAATTGAAAATAAATCTTTATATGCTTAGAAAATTTTTCTTTACAAACGTGAATTAAAATTATAAAGATCCATTTATTTATAGTAATCTATTACATTGAAATGTAATAAAAAATGGTCAAAAACTGTCCCAAATATTTCAAATTTACTTGTTTATTGCAAATATCTTAATAGCTACAACCTTAATTCAAAAAAACGTCACATAATGATTTAATATATTATATTGCTAACGGTAATAATTATTAAATAAAAGTTGGTAGTGATGCACTTATTTTTTTGATAGATTTGAATAAAAGTCCGATTTTCGTGTTCCTCGCTTATTCTAATATATACGCGGCAATTCTGATATATACGCATTACAAAAATCGAAAAGAATATACCAAAAGTACTATTTTTAGTACTTTAACTCAACACAATAAAGGAATAACAACTGGTAATTAAAATTCAATTAATTGATCAATATCAAACTCAATACGGCGCATCTTTTTATACAAAGATAATTATTATATAACAGTTAGTTGATATTCTATTTATTAAAAAGGAGCAAGTTTTACTGTCCCGCCTTGCTGGGTGTCCCGCCTTAATGGTGCCGACTTGCTACAGCAAGTCGGTCAATTCTTTCGAATTAAAATTTAAGGAAACCGACGATTACCTCCGAAGAGTTTCAATGGGCTTATTTGTTTAAATAATTTAAATTTCGAAATAATAATATGTCTTAAATCTTCAATTCAATAAAGAGAGGTCTGGCAATGCTATAGATATCACAAACGAAATTGCCTTGGGCACGGGAATCTAGAGAGGCGATATTTTGAATGCCTTTCTGTATACCGGTAGCCTGGATCTCTCGAAGGGTCGCAATCTCTTGTATCCTAGTTCATTCCTGAGGGAGCGTATTACATCGCAATGTTCTGACCTGCAATAAATAGATGCATCTTTATATCATCAATAGATAATTATAAAGCAGTTTTTTCTAAGCATACTTTCTTTATTATCAATAGTTGTTATTTAATAAGTGTTTTGATGAGAGTGTCCCGGGCTGCTGGGTGTCCCGGACTGCTGGGTATCTCGGTTTTGTGGTCCAGGTCGGTATTTTCTACCTAATCTAATATGACCTCTTCTAATCTAATATCTAATCTAATGTTGAGCTAAATGTGGATCCTGGCTAAGATCGTAAACTGTTAAAAATGCGGTCACCTGACCTACGCCCGTAACGTTGATTAAGTGCATTCATTTAAGCTCAGGTCATCGAGGAATATTAAAAACATAACTAATTACTTATTAATATAGAAAATGAAAATCTTGCGAATGTAACGAGTTTGCGCTTTTGCGATTGAAATCTACCTTTTATTTATTTTTTTATTTTTTAATTTTTTTAGACCTATTATTATAAACTCTTTTCACTTGATTAATAGCTAATTAATAAAAAGAAAATTCTCGAAAACCAGCTTTTTGCATCGCCTTAAGAAGGTTTATTGCTATAAATTAAATGCCCGAAGGATAGCTAGCTGCATCGGGCTGAAAAATGTTATTGCTATAAATTAGATACTCGAAAAGTAGCTGGCTGCATCACGCGGGAAAAAGCTATTCTATAGGAAAAGGGCTGTTCTATATGAAAAAAGCTATTGCTATAAAGAAAATATTCGAGAGATAGCTGGTGCGTTATAAGAAGCTATTATTATAGATTATAAAGCTACGAATATTACACCGCGAAGTCCGGAAAACTTACCCCGGAGCTTGCGGAAGGCCGTGAGTTTTAGCTTGCGGCCGGGCTAAAGCGTCACATTTTCTTTACATTCTTTTAAAGCGTATTACTTATAGAAAATCGATGTAGCGTTAATGCGGAAGGCAGCTTCGCACCACGACCGGGCGAAGCAAGGTCTAGCCCCGGAGCTTGCGGAGGGCAGCCAGAGGCAAGACCTTGTTTCATACTAATACTCAAGGCAACCGACGATTAGCTTGCGCCGGAGCTTAGAAATTCGTTATGTTATGGTCCGGAAAACACGTTCACATCCTTCTCACATAATCTTAAGGCGTATTTCGTATATAAAAGTGAAGGCAGCCTTATACTCGCGACCGTTGCGAAGCGAGGTCCACGGAGGTTGCTAGAGGAGGGCCGCCAGGGAATAATAATAGACTTCTTATATAAGTAATCACGTTGATCTTTATAAAGAAGATTGCATTGTTATTAATAGTCAGCTAAGTGTAAATTTGATTGTATTAAGGTATTTCAATATACTATTAAAGACAAAAAGATTAATATAATAATACCTTAGGCTTTACGCAAGGGTTTATTAATATATCTTTATTAGTTAAAGCTTAAGTCTTTGCCAATACAGGCCGTGCGTCGATCTTGTAGAGTCAACAGCCCGCGCTCCATTTTGATAAGCTTACATAGTAATCAAAAAGCTGATTATTATTAGCTGCACGATTACCGGTAGTTATAGCCGACGAAGAAATTTCGAAAACGAATACGATCCTTAAAACATATATATTTCTTCTTGCACTTGCTTCAAAGACTAATTCATCACTATCTTTCTTTTTCTACAAATTTAATCCATCATTCTTTTTTTTCTCGTCAAACTCGCATTATATATATATAAACATTATGTTTCAATTGATATCTATCCTCGCGATCTTCTTAGCTTTCAGCTCTTTCTTTAGTGAAGTTCAAGGAGGAAAGAGAAAGTCGATGGAGCCGCCAGATTTCTCACATTGGAATGAACAAATAGTCATCGGCTATGCAAGAGTTCCCGAAGTAAGTTTTACTTGATTTTGTAAAAGTGTAAGCTTATACTAATTTAATTACGCGAATTATAGGACCAAGCCGAGCGCATCAATAAAGACAATAGGCTATTTGTAGACGAAACCGCAAGAAGGGAATTAGGAATTGGCTTTGATATAGGTAACGCTGATCTATATAGAGTCTTTGTTCTATAACGCGGAGCTAATAATCTGAATAGTGGAGTACCCTGGTTACGGAGTTAAAGAAGGGGATTGGTATTGTGCTGTCACAGCGAATTCGATGCATTTGGGACGTATCGACAAAGTCTACATCCCTCATTATAACACATATCCTGGGCCTATAAAATATTTATGGGACCAAGGCGACGAAGTCATCGTGGACTACATCAAGGAAAAGGGATTTGCGCAAGACCCTTTTACAGCGCTACGCATCTCATACATAGGGACGGACGACTTGCAGATGCAAATGCTTATCCCAGCGATAGTGATAGAGCAAGATTATTTGATTTTAAGGGCTAAATGCTTTGATTCGGTAGACGATCTAAAGACGTTTTCGCGTTTTAGCATGAATTGGCGCGATGAAATGGACGTTAAAGGATGGTGATAACCACCGGGCCTTGCATCCTTTTCGAAGGTGGCACAATCAGGAAGGAGTGGCTCGTCAACTTTGGGCTGGGTATGTTTCGCGTAGCTTGGATTAACCAAGCGTTGATATTCTGTTTCGATCGGGGCGGAATCATGTATGATAAGGGAGAGCTGTACGAAGTAGCGGGTGTGAGAATGGATATGCGGCGATTGCGTTTGAAAGTTCGGTTTTCAGTAGCTTGCTTGCTTTCTATTTCCGAGTGTGGTCCATGCTGAAGATTTTATAATGACTCTCAGTCCAGGGCGAATAGGTGAGCTCCGTAGACCGTAGACCAGAATTTCTTTCAGATGCCCACCCGTCTCTCTGGCCAGCAGGCCCTCCCTCCGCCTCAAATACCAAACCGAAATGTTAATCCATACTTTCCAAACATTGTCCGGACATAAACGAAACCTTTCTTAGACTTACCTTCACCGCCCAGGAACCATTCAACCAGATCCTGCCTGACGCGGTGAACAATAAGCAGCTATAATTTACTGATTTTTCAAGAACTTCTCTCAAGACAGAACGAAGTCCTAGACTCCGACCAACAAATGCCTGTCACTCCGCTAACTCAATCTTTTTTGTCTCTGGACCTGGTAGAGAAGCTCTGAGATGTTCGATCATAAGTTCAGGTGTCGAATCGGATATCTCACGAGCCCCGCCGCGCGCATTCACACATATTCATCCATCTCACAATGTATTCAGGGAAACGAGAGAGGGGGAGAGAGGAGGAAAGAGAGGGGGTCGAGCTGGAGGGGGAAACACAAACATAAACACACAGAAACAGAATTGAAAAGAAATCGGCATCATCTCGATTCTCGCAACAGCACGCAGGCTGCTCTCTTTCCCTTCCGGCCAACTATACCCCGACGCCAAACCAGCCCGTGGAAAACGCCCCATCAGCTGGCTCGCTGACCGAGAAAAGAGAAAGAAGCAGCAGAAAGAGAAAGAAATAAAAGAGGAAGAGAGATTCTATCATACACTTCGATCGATTTTATTTTGGTTTTTACTTCTCTGTCCCTCGCCCATTCCCATGTCCATCCGCCCCTTTCCTGAGAATCACTTCTCGTAAGAAATTTCCGCAGAAAGGGAGTACGAAGACTCGGAAACAGGGAAAGTGGCGGCACGAAAAGAATGCCCGTAGAGCCCTATTTGCCCTTATGCATAAGACTCTTAAACCAAGTCGCAGCGAGGTTCATGCTATCCCTCCCGCCGATCGATGCATAGATCAGCAACTATCCCAAAGGTTTAGCAAGAACGGCAGAAGTCCCCTCCCTCCATAACCATGCACACCATCTACCCATCATGGAAGACAGTTCGGGTCGTCGTGGAAATCAGAAGTTGTAAAAGACGTGATGTCGTGAAAGGAAAGAAAGCCGTGGTAAAATACAAGGACGGAAAAAGGGGGGCGAGGAATATGGTACAGGTCGAGAAAGAGGACGAGGGTCATGGCAGAAGATTTGGTTTGAATTCAAGTCGAGTCGCTGAGTCAAAATCTCTACTCTTCTTCCGAATCAGATTCGTCGCCGCTGGACATATCCTCGGTTTGCTCGACCGCTGGACAAGGGTTAGCAATTGAAATCACTCTTGCTAGAGTGAGGGGGATCTACTCTGCAGGACAGGTTCCTGAGAGTGCGAGCCGGAGCTTGCCCTCTCGTAGGTTCCAAGCTTCTGTTGAAGCGCCTTGATATTCTGCTCCTGGGCCTCTTTGCTCATCGGCTTGTTCTTCTTCTTGGTGGGGGCCGCCTTGGCAACAACACGGGGGCTCTCGCGCTCTTGCATCGCCGACTTGACCGTCTCGAGAACTTCTGGTCGGTGGTGCATAATCAGATGGTAGATTTCCCAAAGAAGCTCAAGACTGATGACATCAATGTCAAGCTCCAAGGTACCATCCTCGCCAGGCTGGAAAAGTGGTCAGCACGTGATATTTTTGGAAGGCGGTGAGGGGCAAAACTTACGTCGATTCCAGGACGTTCTCGCTTGATCTTGTCCAGGACGACGAGAGACACGTCATCAGGGAGGTCCATGAGCCCAGCAGAAATGACTTCCTTCTCGAGCGAACCCATGAACTTGGGCTTGGGAGGCTTCTTGGGTTGAACGGGTCTCTTGGGAGCGGCCACAGCTTTCTTGGGAGCCTTCGAAGACTTGAGCTTCTTACCCTTTCTCTTCTCCACCTGATCTTCCTCCGCCTGTACGCGCTTCTGAACCGTGGCGACCAAGTCTTGTTGCATGGAGATGACAAACTCGTCCCGGTTCTTGGCGCTCATCAGAGCGATGAGTTTCTGTTGATGCTCGAGTAGGATGTTCTTTGCAGCACCGAGGGAGTTCTTCGAAGCATTGTTTGAGGCATCGTCGTCATCTTCCTCGTCATCTTCATCCTCGGATTCTGGCATGCTAGCTGGGCTGGCGGCAGCAGGAGCGTGGTCGTGAACCCATTGGTCCTTCTGTTCCCACTGCTTGTTAAACAGCTCCTCAAATCTCTTACCCAGTTCGTTGACCATGTTTGGAGGCGGGTTGAACTTGTAGCAGTTGGCGAGCATCAGGCGCATATCTTTCTCAAACTCACTCGCATTGCCGTAACTGCCACTCTTGAGCTTGTTAGACATCGTAGAGAGATCCATCGGCTTCTTGATAATGGTGAAGTACGTTGGGATGTTTAAGGCGACCGGATCAACTGGAAATTGGAATATGTGGTTGAACTGCGCATACCTATCCTTTCGTACCTCCTCCAGGACCATCTCACAGAACTTGAGCTCGGTAGAATGCTTCTTGTTCTTTGGGCGGCTTGGGTGGGCGTACACCAGATCCTTACTCTTCGGAGGATGGATCTCTCGCTTGGGTCGACCACCATCAGCCTTGGTAGAATCTCGACGAATCAATGGCATGCTGGTTGTTGGGTCCAGGGCAAAGGTAGGAGCCGGGGCCGCCGAGTGCGATGGAGCGGGAAGCGGATCTCGAGATTCTTGGCGAGGCTTCGGGGCTCTAGATGCAGTATTGGGAGCCGGGCTTGAGCGCTTTGCCTTCTTGTCCCGCTTTGGCGCCTTGATGGGCTCGCTGGGAGTGTTCTCGATCTTATTGAGAAGATTGCCCCGAATGACGAACGCAGCTTTAGAGACGTCGTGAAACTGACCATTGAAGGTCAGAGTGTTGTTGTAGAGCAGGTGAAGATCGGACGTGAACTCTTCCATGAACCGATACACACCCGAAGTCAACTTGTGGTCCATGGTCTTCAGATCAATTGGCTTCGAGATCCTCGAGAGGTAGTTAGTCTTGATATCGGGCCAGAGTTCAACGACAGGACCTCTGAAGTTAAGGCCATTTCTATTCTTGCATGCACTCTTCAGGGCTTGGCTGAGTTGCTGGACTTGGTACGGCGAGATTGGGGTGCCGGTTGTCCGCTCTGCTGCCTCGCCATTCGGTGTGGGCGCAGCCTCATCGGCCATTGACTCGTCCTCGGTCTTGGGTCGTTTGGCCGAAGGCTCCATCTCGTCGTCGTCTTCGCGCTCGCGGGCGATCTTGGCTGATGTACTTTCGGGCTGCGGCGCATCCAGCATCTCGGTGTCATTCACCATTGTATCGGGGGGGATCGCTTGCTCAGGCGAAGTGAAGTTCGGATCGTCGATGGCAGCAGACGCAGGTGGCGGAGGTGAATTTTGTAGATCAAGGGGCGGCTCAGGAATAGCTTGCGGTTGGTCGAAAGTGAGGTCGGACACGTCGGCGCTAATGCTAGCAACCTCCGATTCCTTCTCTGGTTGGGGTGTAGGCAACTGTGCGCTGTTAGGATCGAGATCGGGGTCGAGAGTGGTAGCCTGGGTTGATTGCGCGGAAGGTGAAGTATGTCTGAGATCGGATTCTTGAGACTCGATGACAGGGAGTACCGCGGTTGGGGCGGAGAGATGATCGACTGCTGCCTCGACTGCCTCGTCTGCCGGGGAGATCTGCGTGGTGCTTTCAAGAAGCGCAGAGTCTGCACCAACTGATACTTGCGCCTCGGTGGTGGTGGTCGTCGTGTCGGTCGAGGGAGGGAGCGCAGAGACCGACGAAGAAGATTTTGCCGTTTGCGACTCGACGGAAGGATTTATAGGCTCTCCGGCGACTTCCTGGTTTGCCGCGAAGGCAGAAACATTTGCGGACCCATTCACTTCAGGCATCTCGAGAGGGTCGGCAGCAGCTAAAGGTGAGGGCGCAGACTTGGTCAAGAGGGGTTCAGAGGGCTCGGCATTAAGAGTGGTCTCATCTTGAGGTGAAGCTCTGCAATTGTATTTCATTAAGTATGGGTACATGGTAAGACGGCAGAAGGAGGAAGGGAACAAAAGGCAAGGGAAGGAGCAGGGCAGTGCAAGGCAGGAGAGATGGCAGGAGAGAAGAGCAGAGGAGGAGAGGAGAGGAAAGGAAAAGAAAGGAAAGGAATGGAAAAGGAATGGAAAGGGACGGGAAATAAATGGTAGAAGCTCGCGGGAGTGAGACTCACCCGTTGATGTCTAAATCCAAAGCCATCTTGTCATCTGATGGAACGGGCTGTGTCTTCTGCTCGAATGCGACTCTTTCTGAATGCTGCGAGCTCATGACGGCCATTAACAAACCAACCTCTGCGGGCAGAGGCTACGCTACACAACAAGCGAGAGACGGACCCCGACCTTGAGCGTGAGCGTGAGCTTGAGCCCGACTCGGAACTTGGTAACGCGTTTGCAGCTCTAGAATGCGACCAGCGGCGCGACACCAGTATCTGGGCTGGGCTCTAGGCGACGGCGGCGACAAGTTGTGTTTAATCTGTCAGCCTTGCGCAGATCTGTATCTTCGATCTCGCAGCCTTGTCGGGCGCGGAGCGGCAAAGCAACTCGAATCGCGCCGAAGACGTGTCCTCGAGCCGAGTGAATGCGACGCGCTCACAATCGAGGCGAGGGCAAGGAGAAGAATTGGATGCGCCGGTGATGCGGGATGTCAATGCCGAGGCCGACGAGGCAACGGCGACGATGTGTGTTTGAGTGGTTGGGTGTTTGTTTTGTTTTGCTCTGCTCTGCTCTGCTCTGCTCTGGTGTCGTGACTCTTACTCAAGTACGCGACGGGACGCGCGTCGGGATGGATGGAAAGGAGAGTACACCTAGCGAAAGAGACCCAATAGAAAGATTTAGAAAATTTCAGCGACGGCTGGCCAGGCGCAACAAGCGAATGATGCGAGGCGTGGCGTGCAAAGCAACGTGGGCGATACGATGCGACGGCGACGGCGATGAGATCAATGCCGACCGACGTGTGGGGTTGGGGGGGGGGGGTGGGGGAAGGGATAGTAGCAGAGGCTCCTTTTTTTGATTTCCCCTTTTGAATGCCCGGGTTCGGGTCCGGGTAAAGTCAAGGGAGATAAGTCAGTCAGTCCAATCAGAGTTGTGCAGGGCAGGGCAGTGTGGTGTGGTGTTGTTGTGTTGTGTTGTGTTGTGTTGTGTTGTTTTATTATTATTGCGCTGTGTTGTGCTTTGGAGAATTGGGATCATGTGGTCGTGGTCGTGATCGTGGTCGTGGTCGTGATTGTGGTTGTGGCCGCCGGAAAAGGTGACGAATAAGGGCGGCGCTGAGGAATCAAGAGAAAACTCCATCATGGAAGAGGAACAGGAACGACGAAGCTCTTTATTAACGAGACGGATTTCCCAGAGACCCCACTAGCGCGCTAGTCGTAAGCGAGTCCAATCAAGAGCTGACCTGAGTGGGTCCCCGACCCCCAGCCCCCCCCCGCCCCGCCACTTTGACCAAGTTTCCATGCAAGTGTCATTACCCACGTGATCTACGGCAGAAAAAAAAAATTCAAAAAAATTAATCCAAGATCCGGGTGGACTTCGACATCTGAGCCTGCTGCCGCCGGGAATCTCTCCCCCCTCCCTCGAGGCCTCGCCATTCTATCCCATCGAATCATACCTATCGGTACCTATACCTAATACCTCCCAAAGTTTCTATCCACCTCTTCTCCCACCAATCCCACCCCATCCCCACCAATCCCATCAGATACCCAGATACCAGACGCCAATAAACCATGGCGACGCAGCGGAAACAGCCCATGAAGATTGGCCTGCCCAGCGTAAAGCAGAGCGCAAAACCTCTGGGAAAGAACAGCACCGTGGACGAGTCGAGAACCGTGGTGTCAGGTGGAGGCTACGCAACCAAAGCCGCACAGGAAGTTTTCAGCATCTCCAGCGACTCCTCAAGTAACCATGACGCCGACGATTCAGATGATGCAGCAGCGGAAGATTTCTCCATGGAAGATGCAGCCGAGCCCGCGAATCTCAACGAAGACGAACACGACGACGGAGAACTGGCAGAGCCCTCCTTCGGCGATCGCATACAGGCCCTCGCAGACGAGCCCATAGACGTCGCCGCAGCCTTTCACGACCCGTCCCAAGCCCTCACCATCCCCGGCACGCAAATACAACCTCCGACCGGCGCATCGCTCGGCATCACCCTCTCCCAAGCCCTGAAGACCAACGACGTCGCGCTCCTTGAGGTGTGTCTCTCGACGACCGACCCCAACACCATCCGCGCCACGATACAGCGTCTAGAGTCGCCGCTCGCAGGTATCCTGCTACAGAAGATTGCAGACAGGCTGTTCAAGAGACCGGGCAGGGCAGGCAGCTTGATGGTGTGGGTGCAGTGGACGGCAGTCACGCATGGCGGATATCTAGCCACGCAGCGCGACTTGATCAAGAAGCTGGCCGAGCTGGACAGAGTTGTAGACGGCCGGAGCATGGCGCTGCGGCCTGTGCTAGCGTTGAAGGGAAAGCTGGACATGATGGGCGCGCAGTTGGAGTACCGCAGAAGCATGCAAGATCAGAGAAGGCGATCAGATGAAGATGAAGAGGATGAGAACGTCATTTACGTGGAAGGGGAGGAGGACGCGGAGGGAGGTCTGAAGCTACAGAATGGAGATATTCAAGATCTGGATAGTGACATGGAGGATGATATGCCGATGACGAACGGCGCCAACTCGGACTCGGAAGATGACTCCAGCGATGATGCCGGGGAAGGGCTTTTCGACGACCAGGCGGAGGAGACAGACGCGGATACGGGGGACGAGGACGAGGTCGACATGGAAGATGACTCCCGCGGCGAGGAAGACGACGATAGCGATGCCGGGCCTCCGCCTGCGAAGTTGTGCAAGACCAAATCGGCATTTTCGAAGAGGAGGTAGAAGGCAAAACGGGCTGGCTGGCTAGGCGGTGGCACTCGGCGTTTAGTTGCATGGATAGGCGTTTTGTTTCGTCTTGTTGATTGTACGTTGTCAAGAGAGCATACATGAACCGATAGATATATGTAATACCTCTGATACCTAGACGCCTCATTTCAATGGCTAAGGCTAAATAAAGCACCCTTGGCCCAAGATGAGGCATCGGGCTAGGTACATTGTACAGATCAGCTATACAAGAGATTAAGTATCTCGAAGTAGTAGCTGGTAATCCTATACCATACATACTGCTTCTAACCCCGGAACCTATCTAATCCAACCCATCTAACCGATCAATACAAGCTCAACCGTCCAAATCGGCAATCTTTTCGCCTTCTTCTTCTACTGTTTTCATCTCTCTTTCACTTTTCTCTTCTCTTCTCTCTCTCTGTTTCTCTTCTTTTATTCATCCCGATTAATGGATGGATACATGCACACCCATCAATGAAGGAAACGCGTCCCGCCGTCACGCGATCAGGCTCCATCTGTCTCCCTTGACCCCTCTCCCTTCCTTTTTTTTTCTTTCTTTTTTGTGTGTACCTATGTGTGTGTTTTTCCCTTCTCCTTTCTCTCCTCCTTTCTAAGGTCCCACATTCCAATCCTAGCTTCCCCCCCCCCCCCCTTTTCTTCTATTCTTCCATTCCACAACAAAAACAAAAACAAAAAACCCCCCCCTTTTCCATTGCCATTCCAACTTCCAACCTCTCCCGCGGTATGTATGTACGAGCCCAATCCAGTCTAATCAAATCCTGTCTCATCACGTCACATGCTATTCTATTCACCACCGATTTCGGTCTTCTGGGCTAGTTTAGCTAGCTAGCTAGCCTTTCGGAACCAGATCCGGAACCGGGATCAGAACCAGACCCGTTTCCGGGGAAGAGGTAAGTATTGAACCCAATTTTTTTTTCTCTTTCCTTCATTTAACAATCAGTGGACCTTTGATCTTTCTTTTTCTTTTTTTGGCCATTGATTTATTTTATTTCGTTCGCTTAGATGTGTGCCTGTGTGTCCGTGCGAAGCATATTATATACCTACATACCTTACACGTCCAAGGCCATTTTTCGTCTCGTTTTGTGCTCATGGGAAATAGATCTTGGGCGGGTGTAGTCCGTTCGGTCTGGTCTGGTCTTATAAAGGGGAAGAAGATGATGAAATTGCTTCTCTTCTCCGATTTCTATATGTCTAGTAGGTGTAGGTATACAAGGTCTGATTCCTGGCGGCCCTCCGCATGCTCCGGGGCCAGGAGACCTTGCTTCGCTCGGTCGTGGTGCAAGGCTGCCTTCCGCATCAACGCTACATCAATTTTCTATTGTATAAGAAATACGCTTTAAAAGAATATAGAGAAAATGTAACGCTTCAGCCCGGCCGCAAAGCTAAAACTTACGGCCCTTCGCAAGCTCCGGGATAAGTTTTCCGGATTTCGCGATACAATATTCGTAGCTATGTAACTTATAATAAAAGCTTCTTTCAGCGCGATGCAGCCAGCTATCTCTCGAGCATTTTATTTATAGTAGTAGCCCTATCTCGCGCGATGCAGCTAACTATTCCTCGAGCCTTTAGATCATAATCTTAGCCTCTCTTAGTGCGATGCAGCCAGCTATCCTTCAAGCGTTTAATCTATAGCATTGGCTTTTCTCAGCTCGATGCATCCAGCTATTTTTCAAGCATCCAATTCCAAGCAACAGCTTTTTTCAGCCCGATGCAAGCAGCTATTTTTCGAGCATCCAATTCAAAGCAATAAGTTAATAACCCACCCCTTTCAGCCCGATGCAGCTAGCTACCCCGCGAGCATTTAACCTATAGCAGTAGCCCTTTTTAAGACGATGCAGCAAGCTGTTATTCGAGCATTTCTCTTTTTATTATGAATTGGGTATTAATCGAGTGTTCGAAAAGAGAAGAGTCTATAATCGTAGTTCTTAATCTCAAAAGGTGGATTTCGATTGCAAGAATACAAATGTAGCTTATTGATAAGATTCCCTTTTTTTTTTATATTAATAAACGATTAATTAAATTTTCAGTATTCTTAATCGCAAAAGGTGAATTTCGATTGCAACAGTGCAAATGTAGCTTACTAAACTCGCAAGAATCCTTTTATTCGTATCAACCGCGAAAGTTTGATTTCGATTGCAAGAGTGCTAGTACAGCTTATTAAACCAGCAAGACTGTATTTTTTCGTATTAATAAGCGATATAAATAAGCGATTGATCACAATTTTAAATTCCTTTGTAGCTTCAGCTCAAATGGATGCACCCAATCAACGTCACGGCCGTAGGTCAGGTGACCTCATTTTGAATAGTTTACGGGATCCATATTTAGCTCAAAATTATATTAGAGAAGAAGATAGATTAGATAGATAGATCAGCCGTGGCAGCGAGCGATACCGAAGAAATATATTGGGCACAAATATCGGCTCAATGAGCAGAGCAAAGCAATCTTTTCAAACGAATTCATTTTCATTCGAATTGGTTGAACAAATATTCTAGATGGTGAAAATTTGGACGGGGACGGCCGTGGGATTGCCATGGGACGGTCTATTTGGTAAACTATTCCTGAATAGGTGACCACTGAAATGACCCCCGACCTGCTTTTAAGGTACCCATGATCCACAAAACGCATAATATCATATGCAAGTATATATATCTCGTACTATACTAAACTATTTATAAGATTTACATGCTTCTAAACCCTTCTTTAAAATCTTCCTTCTAAATCCTTCTTTTTAAACCCTTCCATTCCTTTGGTACTTTATACTTAGATTTGCTACTTTGTACTTAGATCCGATCAGTTTTTAGCAGCTTATGCTTCGAGTCCAGGCCAGGGCATATAACCGTCTTTTAGAATATTTTATGTACGTAGTATTTAAGGATCTGACCCACACTCCTACCCAATCCCACCTATTGTTGTAATTACTTTCGTTGGTTTTTGTTGAAAGGAGAGGTACTTGGTACATGCCCGAAATAATGTAGTAGTACAAACGCTGTCTGAGCGCAATTCTAGAGGTTTCCGTTGACAAGGCTCTTGTGCAAGGGGAATTATCAATGATATAACGATAACAATTCAAGCAGCATTGCCAAGTATCTAGTGTTCATAGACTAGAATTGTACATTAGTTACCCATAGTACGATAGATTGCAGTTACTATGAATAAAGAACTTAAGCGTAAGTTGAAATTTATATTTAAGAAGATCTTCTATGTAAGAGCCGCTGGATTGCAAAGAGCCGAACGTAGAAATTCCAAATACGATTTTAGAAAAAGAAAAAGACATATATATTCCTTCTTGCACTTGCTGCCAGATTTTGATTCAACATCCTCTTACGGTACCTGCTTCAGATTTTTTCAATTCATCATCCTCTTTCTTTTGCAAGATGCTACGATCGAATTATTTCCTCACCACCTTGCTAGCCTCGGGCCTTGTCTTTAGTAGAGCTCAAGCATTTCTGCTAGATTCAGTTATCGGCTATGCAACTGTTTCTGCTGTAAGTCTTTAATGGACTTATATAGCATAAGCTTATACTAATTACGAGAATTACAGGAGGCTGCTGAGTCTAACAATCTAAATAATGAGTTATATTTCGATGAAACCATCACTCGCTTAGGAGCTGGCGTATATGTGGGTGAGTTGATTTATCTCGATCGTTACTCATTACACGGGGCTGATAATTTAAATAGTAAACAACCCTTTGCACTTGGAAAGTGAAGGTTGGGCTTGTGTTATCAAGGCGGATACGGTCAAGTTCAACCAAGTCGGCAAAGTATGGATCCCGAAATCTTATCAGAGGATGACTGCGGATGATCCGAGGGAGCAAGAAAACATATGGGACGAAAGCGAAGAAGTTATCGTGGATTACATCCAAACATTGATGCCAGAGCCCGGAAAGGCGCTGCGCTTCTCATGGGTTCGAAATCGTACTAATTGGCAGTTGCGAATGCTTATTCCAACGAAAGTGGTAGAAAGAGATGATTTGGATTTACGGGCCGACTGCTTTGAATCAAGAGATATGATGATAAATGAGGTGGGCGATATCGTTCCTTGGTTAACTTGGACTATTCAAGGACAGTCAGGTGGTGGAGCACCGAGCCTTAAGTAGCATAATCCAAAGGGAGTGCCTCGTCAATTGTATATTAGAACTCATGTACTGCCGTTCTTTTTGGGTTAAAAGAGTTAGTCATCATTTCCAGCCAATCGGCTACTTTTCGCCGTTGTCCGTCCTTGGCTGTTGTGGCCCCAGGCCACCAGGCGACTAAGGTGTACAGACCACTGAGGAGGAGGATATAACCTCACGTTGCTTTAAGCTCCTTAGAAAACAATCAGTTCACCTTTGCTACCTCTATCTTATCCTCCTTGTCTGTGGCCTTTCTCGTGTCGTTGCTTGTTTATTAGAGAGAAATCCTGCTTGGGCTGGTAGAGAAAGAGAGAGAGAGAAGAAGAAAGGAGAAGATAAGCAATAAAAGGCTTCTTCTCCGGTTATTACTTTCAGATCCTTACGGACTTGCCGTGACAGCCGAAGGGGGGGGGGGGGGGCCGCTGGAGTCGATAACATTATAGGACGGGCCGATCAAGGTGAGCAGGCAGGTCGGTACGTTGTAGTTCCATATTGTTGTTTTTGACTGTTGTTTTCGACTTATCCTCTAGGTTAAATTTTCCTTCTTATTTTCATTCTGGTGAGATTGGGAACTCGAGTTTCATCAGCTCCGGGGGAAGGTTCTTTTTTTCATCCAGATAACTGAACGTGAGAAGGGGCTGGCTGTTTTGTATTTGGCCGGCGCGGTGTCTGTGGTGGGATGCTTTTGGGGTTGGGGAGGTGGTTGGGGAGAGGATTGGGAGGGAGGTTGCTGAGAGGGTTAGGGGGTGGAGGGAAGGGATGAAGGAGGAGGAGCGAGTGAGTGAACAGAAGGCACTGTACGCTTGAAGGGTTATAATATCTTAAGGAGGAAGGGGTCGGATCTCAACGGCGTATTTATTGATTCATATATATATATATATATATATATATACATAAGGTAGCTAGCTCTTGGCGCAGTAGCGGCGGCATTTTTTGGCGTTGGGTTGGGTTGGGAGCTGGAAGTCGGGAGTTGGAATAGAAGGGGATAGCATATCGTGCATCGGCGTTCACGTCTAGAATTTTGTTATAAGTATACCATGGCCGATCATCCATACATATACATATACACAAATATGCTCATATCAATGTATAAATACAAATCTACAAATACCCACACCCGTACCAACCCTCACTCATACTTAACCACCCCAGCAGAGCACCAACCTTAGAAGCTAGCTAGCTAGCCAGCCAGCCTACTTAATAGTAGGACTTGACATCGCATCTTTAAAGGCCCTTCGCTAAGGTGGGCGAAACAATCATGTCCCGTACCGATATTTTTTGATAATATTAGATTGCAAAGAAACTATAACCTTTTAAAACAATTTTTTTTTTGGTTAAATAATGACCCCTGTATTTTAATAAAAGTCGAGTATTTTGTATTTAAAATTGTAATTAGTAGTATTCTATTATAAATATTATTCAAAGCTTTAAAGCTAAATATATTATTATATCGTTCGTACGAAATTTTTGTACGATTCGCAAGCAAACTTTTATAAATCCCGATATTAAATACGCTTTCTGAAATGCTAGAATATAGCTTATTTGTCTCTTTTAAATTTAATATAGATTAAAAGAATACATAAAAACCAAAATTGCATATGCTCGAAAATAAAGAAATAATCGTCGGTTACCTTGCTTTTAATTTGTAAAAAATCCCGACCTGGCGATCGATTGTATACAAATGGAAACGGAATTCCTTTTTCCAATAACGGTTAATTTAACGAATTATTTCTTTTTTCTTTCCTTTAACCTTTTTGATTATACTAAGATTCAATATAACAACTTGACGAGTGTTACGGCTGTCGAAGGCAGTATGATTGTATTGCTACCTAAGAGTACGCTCTGTAATGAGAAAGAAAGATGAAGAGGGAAAGGAAGAGAATGAGTGCAGAAGAAGAGGTCTTGTAGGCTGTCTTGCCAAGACGGGAGCCCAAGGTCACGAGGTAACGTGTGACCCTTAGGCATGTAGCTACGTGACCTCCGCGTGACCGCCATTACTACCGTAACAACGAGTTAGATAAAAAATTGAAATAATGCTTTCTTCTTTACTGAGGTCGAAAGGATTGCGTTTATATTTTATCCGAACGAGAAATCTTTATTCAAGACCGCGAAAAGCAATTTATAAAAAAAGACTTATATCATTACTTTCTTTTCTTTTCGAAACGCAATTGCAAGCGAGGAAGCTGCGTTAAAAAACCTCTTTTTTAACAAAGAGCTTGCTAAATTCGCATAGACCTTGTATCCGATCGACTCTTAAGTCTTCATAAATAAAAAACGCTTTCGAATTAAATAAAATCTGTTGACTTATATTTAAATTAGCGATAACGACAAAAACTGTAAGCAATTAATATGATATCATTATTACTTTTAATAGCAATAATACTTAAAGATAAATAAAGCTTGAATAAAAAGTTGAGAAAAGCAAATCGGACTCGCTACAGCTGTAACGTACAGCTTTTTTTAGACTTAATTTAAAAGATACGCAATATCACACCCAAAAAGTCGGCTTAATTAAATCTAATAATAATATATATACATATATATTAAGTTATATAATTAATAAGTTGATTAAAAGACATATTTGATTTCTTTTTTATTTTATAAGCGACGCGGGATACAATTGTTTCGCGGGACATAATTGTTTCGCCCACTTCAGGAAAGCGCCCTTAAAGTTGCGACGTTGTGGTGGCCTTAAGCTACTAGGCTACTATAGGTGGCACAGACCACCAAGAGAGGTATATAGCAGCCTCACGCTTGCTCCGAGCTTCGAAGAATAACAACCATCTTGCTCTCTACTATTATCTCCTTATATTATCTGGTGACCATACGCAGAGGAGCTCGACTGCAAATTTCTTTCTTTCGATTCGCAATCAAGGCGATGAAATATTGATCGAACCCAGACCCAGCTTGTTCGCAGCCTGCTCGGGACCACGGAATCGACTATTCTATTACCCTCCTCTTTATCGACATCTCCTCTTTTCATCGGTCGATCTCTACCTCGACCTCTTTCTCACACCAATTCAAGACTCTATAACGAATCGACGTTATCGGTTCATTCAAATTCGAAGGTTTACACGGTCTATTCGATGATTCTCGACGTTTTCACGATACAACACAACACATACAATCAAAAGGGAACGATACGAGTGGTCGGGTCTTGTTTAGGACTACGGATAGCTGCCTAGAGGCTCCACATGCGTTGCATACGCTAGAGGTTTACCTTGCTGGTGTACAGCTTGAACGGGGTTAGAGTTTAGTTGCTACGGATACCGATATCGATCGATTACGAAGGATTCGAATGAAGGTTTCCGATTTGGCTAAGCTAAGCCTATTTATCACTACGGACAGCTGTTTAGAAGCTCCATATGCGTTGTTGCATACGCTCGAGGTTTACCTTGCTAGTGTACAGCTTGAACGAGGCTAAGGATTAGTTGATAGAGGTATCGGCGAGTTAGTTTCGGAAGGTTCAGTTGTGAGAGATACGGAGACGAAAAGAAAGGTGGAATAGCTGAGAAAGCTGAAGAGATAAATCAAAGGTTTGAATAAGAGTCTGAAGTTCTCGGGGCGAGAACTATTGGGTAAGGGACTTGTGGTGGCCTTAAGCTACTAAGCTACTATAAGTGGCACAGACCACCAATAGAAGTATATAGCAGCCTCACGCTTGCTCTGAGCTTCGAAGAATAACAACCATCTTGCTCTCCACTATTATCTCCTTATATTATCTGACGTCAAGTCCCACTATTATTTCTTTGCTATCTCTCTTTCTCTCTCTCTCTTTTCTACCAAAGTCCTCACAAGCGAGCCTTGGCATAGATGGCTCCTTCCCAAAAGACCCAACCCAAAAGAAAGACCAATAGTGCGACCATCAACTTTACACTTTAAAACCCTGTTATCTACCACATAACAAGAATTTAATCACCCTTTCTACCCCTTAAATCTTGGGCACCAGGGACAGGAGGATATGGCCCATCTGTCTAGTTTCTATTCTATTTTATGTTCGATTTCGTTTTTGTGAATTCGGCTTCGGCTTAGGCTCCCTCTTCTTCTTCTTCTTCTTCTTCTTCTTCTTCTTCCCCGACTGTAACACATGCAAATTAAATTATTCCCCTACCTCCAATCAATCATTTTAGAGCTCTCATTTCTTGGGTTGTTGGTGTTATTATTGGTGTCCAAAAAAAATTCGGCAGGCAAAGATACAACCAAGCAAGCAATCTGTTCGAATGTCTGTAAATCTTGATTGCTTTTGGAACTTGATCGAAGCCTGACTTATAAAAACACTGGTATTGCGATCAAACGCCTATCAGCCACAAGGGGCGTTGCGCAAACGTTCTGGCAATCAGGCCGCTATACAAATGACCTCCTAAGGTCAGACAACATAGATTCCCGTTTGTAGCTCAGCGAGAATCATTTATATGGCTCGCTTTTCCTCATTGTTAGAAGCATGCAAAATCTGACTATATTTAAGAATACGTATTCAGTTGCAAGCCCCCTCCCCTTGTAATACCAACAGAGATGATGATATCCATGACTTTGATAACAAAGCTGATGTGAATCCATATGTTTTAGCTATATTAGGCCTCTAGCTATACATCTTCACAGGAGACTTGAGAGAATTGTAGCGGGGAGTATTGAATGGAACGTACGACTGATGGCCTGCCTACTATATTGAATAAAGTGTGTCTTTATGTTGCAGTCACCTGGGATCAAAGACTTGGGCCTGTCTCCGGGCCCCATTTCTAAGACATAGGAAGGTCGAGGATAGCCTAGTGTAAGTGGTCCAAGTCTTGTACCTGAAGCCAATCTGAATACAAAAGCGGGGAGCTCCTTTTGCTGCTACTTTTGAAACACCAACCGATCCTAATGCGAGTTGTTGCCAAAAAAAAAAAAAAAAAAAAAAAAAAAAAAACAACTTGTTTGCTCCTAAATTGGGATGTGAATAAAGAGTTCAATGCAGGGAAGACTGGAGGTCACGAGGGTGCTAACTCGCTAGCGCACTAGAGCAGCTTCACCAACAATCTACCGGTATTCCTTTCCTCGAACTTCACATCAACCTCAATCTCGACAACAACCAACAATATCAATCTCGATCCTGATAACAGCCAACCCGGTCATGATGTCACTCATCGTCCATCTGATCAGTCTCGCCGACCTCCTCCACCGTCTGATGCCCATCTACTATGCGGTCCTTGGTATCATGCTTCTTTTCTACGGAAGCAGCCCTTACGGTACACCCCTCTCGAGGCTCCCCTGCCCGACTAAACCTACATCCCACAGGCGTTGACATTTCTCTAGTACCTCTCCTCGGCACCATGATCGGCCTCTACTTCCTCTACGGGTATGATTATTTCCACACTGGGATTGAGAACGCCGACGCACCCTATATGATGCTCCTCGGTGATGTCGTTTGCGGCTTGGCCTTCGCTGCTCTCGTTCACTACAACCACGGAAACTACCAACGAAAATTCGCTCGACATTACAAACTTGTTCGTCGCCAGGGATATCGACGCCCGGGATATCGACGCCCGGCGTCTGTTCCGCTTTCACGCTCACCTGCCGCTAGGGAGGAAGAGCGTGTTCCTACTTACGCCGAGGTCTTAAAGTCCTAGACTTCTGGAATACTCTGCGAAGATGGACGGGGGGAATTCAGACAGGGAGGAGAGGGTACGCGTTGTAGAAGTGGTGGAATGCTTGAGATTCTGCCTTTGAGGTCTCTGGGATACCGGGTTGCGGGCTCTACTTGAGTAACGGGAATGGATTGTGAAGGATGTGTCAGTTTGGAGGCTTGGAAAAAAGAATCTGGGAGGTTTGAGATCTTTCAATCCTCCTGCAGAATGTCTCTTGCTTCGCCAATGCAAGAATATCGGCACCTTTCATAGACCAAACCTGAAACTCACCTTTGATGAACCTGCCCTTTCATGCCCTCGGAAGCGACCACTGCTTCAATTTTCAAATTCAGAAATATTCTCCCACGATAAAACCTGTTGTTTCCTAATGCCGTTACCCAGTCAACACAGACACAGTTTTTCCATGTAAACAACAAATGCGCCAAGACCAACCCAGCAAGAGTCACTCCCTCCAACGTATCTATCTCAAAAACCAGGCAACAACCACCAGCCCTAGATAACGAGTCCAACCCAAGGTCAAACACCTAGTATTCACTATTGCCATTTTAAGACCGAATCTGACTCTGAGCAATTAAGTCAAGAATCTCTCTCTCCAACCTTCACGGTATTTCTCCGCGCTAGCTGAATTAAGCGAGCTCACTGCACCTCCGCTCTTCCGCCTCCTCGTCCTTCCTATTCGATAACAGCCCAGCTCAGCTCAGTTCGGATCCAAGAAACTCTTTCGAAAATTACAACAGCAGCTCTGCTTCTGATTCTCACTCTGACCCCGAAGAACCGAACGACCGTCTTCGCAGAACAAGCAAGTAAGCAGACACTCAACTGCTCGATCAATCTCCACCCACAGAAGAAACAGTAAGAACAAAATAAAGATACCTCGACAAAATCAAGCCGAGCAGAGTCGATTTATATTCTTGGATCAATACCAGCACTATGAGCGGCGCCTTTGCGATCCCCGATGATATACAGGATGATATTTCTGGCAGTGAGTATAAGTAATCCCCCCATCCTCTCAAACCAACAATTGCCCGATGGCAGCCGTTCCCAATGAATAATCAGCTAAATGAACGAATTAAAAAAAACCCAGTCATCCAGATCCTCCCCATCGCGCTCCTCGCAGCCGCCATCGTAGCCTCGAGCGCGTCCTCCTACTCGCAGTGTACGTACATACCATACCATTATCTGAAACATATTATATCCGATACACATCTACCTACGTCATCAAAACACCACCCTACTTCGAAGCTCTGCAAGAGGACGCCTTACTCTCTCTCTCTCTCTCTCTCCTTCTTGCATGTACCTATCTTGCGCGGGATAGGAGAGATAGAGATAGATCGATAGGGTTTCTCATATAATCACTTAGCTGACAAGAGCCCCAAACCCAGACTCGGTCCCCGCCTTCCTCCTAACCGCCATCTACATCTTCCTCGTCTTCACCCCAAGCCTGGACCTCTCGCTCGCGCAGTACCTACAGCACTACGCCTTCTACGGGGCCATGATCTGCGCGGTCACTTTCAGATCTGAATTCGATCTCGGATGGCGTGGGATTTGTCAGAGAGGGGTTTGGTTCTTGTCAAACGTACGGTCGGAGGTTGGGCGTGTATGTGAATTCATATACATACTGATTCGTGGCGGGGATTGGTGATGATGATTCTGGCAGGGGATAACTCTCAGCCGTAGCAAAGAAAAGTGTGATCTTTTTTATTCTTGTGATGAGATTGGTTGGGGGAAAGGAAAGTGAGCACCAGTCGTCGCCCGGGTGGGGAGCAGGGGCAAAAAAAAAATTTAAATTTAAAATTTTTTTTAAAAAATAAAAATTATAAAATTGCAAAACTCAACTGGAAGCTCATATACTATCATGAGGTTCCAGTTTACAAACCTAATTGAATAGGTTTTTCGATAATTGACGAATCTACGATCAAGCTTACGAGAGAGGAGGTGTGACTCTGACAGGCTAGCTGTGTGCCCGCTGAGCCACCGCAACTTCTCTCTCAAGCTTGATATAAGACGGCCATGGAATTTGTTTACATCAAGTGGGTGAAGATATTTCTGCGCGGGAGAAGCTCGGCCGGCTTGCTGCTGTGTGTACGGAAATCCGAGAAATTGTCACTTGCTATACAATAAGTTACAACACAATACAATACAATACAGATGCTCACATACAACAAAGTATAGCGTTCCAAGTACTTCTATCTATAAAAAAAAATACATTAAAAAAAAAATTCAAAAAGGAAGAAGAAAAAGAAAAACGGACTAGCCTCTCATGGCCTCTATCTTGTCTTTTCTATTATTCTTCGCTTGCCCCTTCGAAAACGTATTCGATATCTACAATTTTCCATCTCAAATTTTACAGGTTGATCTGATGTGATGATGTAACCACGCGCTCCTTCCCGATGCATCCAGTCAAGCAGCCAATCCAATCCAATCCATCTCTCCACAAAAATCTCCATCTCTCACCTAAACTAAGCTTTCTCTCCACATATAAATATGATATGATACGGGTACGTATAAGTATGCGTAGCGAGTCAGAGTAGTCTGTCTGTATTTATGCGGGTATTTATCTTTCACATTTGTATTTGGTATATATTGTTGATTAGTTTGTAGAAGGGGAGAAATAGAAGAGTCAAGAAATCCTCGCTTTAAGAAAGCAGGCGCATACCTGTTATACATACCCGTACTGTACCTATCTACTACATGCGGGGAGAAGATTTTATTTTTTTTAGAAAAAAATCCCAGATTCAACGTTAACGATTCCGACAAGGAATCAGAATCGAATTTCTGCAAGAATACATACACGTGCCACTACTCCGGCGACAACCTTGAACGATACCAGTCCCATCGATTCATATCTCCCCAGCCCTTATGTCGATGACTGCAACAAACCCCGTCAGTCATATTCTACGCTATCTACACCACACCGCTCATCTAAGCCCCATATGTGCCTGCCTGCCTTTAAAAACCACCAGAATTGACTCCTAAACTCCGCCGACCGTGGAAATGAAAGAGAGAGAGGGAGAGGCTTGGCTTAGCTTAGCTTCTACCGCCACCCGCATGGATTCTGACACTCCTTGCCCTTGTGACAGCCCGCCGCGCATCGCTGCCCGTATACCAAACAACTGCATGTGCCTCTCGTACAGCCTCCTTGGCAACGGCACGCGAGTGCGTTGGCCGAAATCTTCTTGCAGTCCTCCTTTAACTTCTCGATTTCTTCTGGTAGGAAGCCACATCCTTGCGGGTCGTTGATGATTACGCGCTCGAGGTAATCGATCACGGCCCGGGTCTGCTTCGGCATCTTCTCGTTGGTGCAGTGCGGGTTATCCGTGCAGGATTTCCACTGTCGGGAGTTAGCCATGTATATATTTATATACTTTTTTTTTTTCGCTGTTTGACAAAGTGGTTTTGGAAACCTGACTGCAACATGTGTTCCGGCTACAGGGTGTTGGAAATTCACGCAACAGGGTGTACGTACATAGACGAGGGAAGTCTTCAGGAACCGCTTTTGTATCGCCATCCCTCCCCGAAACAAGCAATCGGTCACGGTGATCGGAGCGTGGATCGTGCCGGGTGGCATAATCAGCGTATCGTATCTGGTCAAGGCAAGAACCTTGATCCACTCTGGCGGCGGGTTCCAATCCTCTCCCTCCTTGAGGAAAGCCTTCCTGGCGGCAGCTTCATCCTCCGGGGTACGCGTGGAAATAATCGCCCACAGCTTCAGAACGCTCTCGTCTTGTTTTGTCGAAAAGAAAGTGTCTTCCTTCCTCAGAGACTCCTCGGGATCGTACATGGGCTCGGCGTTTGGTTCCAGCGTGACCCAGGTTGAGACTCCCATGTTGTCCATGTGCCAGGATGAGATGGCGCCAGCTTGACCGTTGATCTGGAATTTGATACAGGACTGGATATCGACCGCGTGCCTGTGGACGGTATCTACGACCTTCTTGCCGAGATCGGTCATCTGGCCCACTTGACGTGCAGCTTGGGATGAGGCGTAGCGGGTAGCATTGATGAGCTCCTTGCAGTGTGCGTAGAGTGGCGGCGGGATCAAAAGGCTGCGACATGTTTGTTTTAGTAGATGCGCTGTTGAAGCCTGTGCCGAATAGATAGAAAGCCCAGGGCCGAGAAGAAACGACTGACTTACTCATCCTTGCATTCGATGTTTAGTAGGTTGATGGGAGCAGATACACGATCTTGCATCCGCAGTATGGCCTCCTGGAGTCTGACCGAGGTCACCGAAGGGGAGGTAGAAGAGTATTTCTGTCCCAGATCCTGGACATCGAGGTGCATTTCCGGGTCGATGAAGGCGGCTTCGTGCAGCATACCAGACGAGGTCGTTGCGGGACGATTGGTCGCCCACGGCCGGTCTCTCAAGAGGACCACCTTGTCACCTGAACCATTCCGCAGCCACCAGTCCAGCTCGACGAGATTCAGGGCGATGAAATCGGCCTCGTGATAATTCTCGCTCGTTTGGGCCGGTTGTCCAAACTCCAGAATATGCTTCCCATGTTTGGCCAAGCGGGCAAAAAAGGTGCGAGGGTACACTTCTCCGGCCGTCTGGTAGGTCTTCAGCAGGGCTCGGGCTCGTGGGTCGTGGAAGAGGCGCTTTTGCTGGTCGTTGACGGTATCAATTCGATCGTATTGGTCCTCGTCTCGTGACTTGCGCGGCTCGAATTCGGGGGTCGGGTACGAGGTAGGCAGGTACGCGGGGAGGGGGGACCGACGGACTGCTGGGCCTGAGCGCGGGGAGAGCGGCGGCGAGTGTTCCAGCATGTCCATCTCCACCTCCATCTTTATCTTCATCTTCATCCTCATAGCCATAGCTGGCTTGACTTACCTAGTAGTAGCACGTGATCGAAAGAACTTTCCTCTGGGTCGGCGGTCGGCGCAAGAGATATCGGCATTATTGAAAGGGATTCAGACACCAAGATTGATAGTCCGTGAAGAACCACTAGGGCGACGGGCCATCGGGCTCACCAAGGCGGAGTGGAGTATTGCGCAATATCAAAAGAGGTGATCTCGAGTCGAGTCGCGTTCGGTCTTTGATTACCTATGAAGATGCGATGCCTTTAGTCGCACGGATCACGGGGATACATAAGGCCGACGACACGTGATATTCGCGCTTTTATGCAATTGCCAATTGCAGGTAATTTTTGAAGGAAATATAACATTTTAATATATAACATGCTTATACAAATTCAAAAGTCAGATGGAAGGGTGGAAACTTATCCGGGGCTGTAGTAACGAGTAATTCAGCAAACAAAGGCCATACCAAGCACTCTCTGGAGAGGCATCTGAATGCCTCTCCAGACTTTCTTTCCAAGGAGTGCCTGATCTTCCTCGCGTTTTGCTATCTGAAAACAAGACGACCAATGTAAGTCCGGCTCTGAAGAGACGCAGGGGCCTGGCCGTGTAAGCATTCCGCAAAACCGATATCCACGAGGGAGGGTAGGAGTTACTAGGCCTCGAGATATACTGACTGCACTAAGAGGTCTGCTTTGCAAAAGATCTAAAGCTGACAAGAGTCTTGCGTTAGTTAATCACACCACTTGAAGCTAAGTTTCCGCCATTCACCTTCTCGCCTATCTCATGGCGCTAGAGCTGGTAAATGACTGTCATAGCCTGTTTATGACAGCTGCTGACTGACAACCTGATCTACAGATAGTAACAAAAGTATGCCAACTAAGAGAAGTTTAGCGTTGCTCAATGTACTCGGCTTGCAACATTTGCGATTTTATAATTGAATTCAGCTAAATTTTGCAGAACCACAACATTCAAGCCCTCTTTGGTCATTTGAAAGGGCATAATCTATTGTCAGAGAGTAAAATCTGAGCTTATATGTAAACACCTCTCTACCAGCATTACATAACGTGGCTTCAAGAATTTAGTCCAAGTCTCTGTCCGGGGTAGAACCTGGTGCAAAATCTCAGCCGCCGTCGAGGCACTATTCCATAGTCTTGGACTTATTAGCTCGATGATACATTGACCGACAAGCGTTTACCTTTTCAGACGGTATATGGATTATCACCTTCTCAGCAAATAGGTCGGCCTAGTTACGTAGGATGTCATATGATCAGCGAGATAGGTCCACCGGCCACTAGATAGGTAGGGCCTGGGCACGCCTATAAAGCAGGCTCCGGGCCCCTTTGCAAAACTTCGTCTATCCTTCCTATATCTACGCACCACGCAAAATTAAAGATCCATCAACGCTTCCGCAGCCGAGTCTAAAAGCCCACCCATCAAAGAGCCACCATTCTACGACTCAGCAGTCGAGCCAAAAATCTCACCCATCAAAGAACTCGCCCCGAGCACACTCCTGTGGCTCCAGACTATGTCTGAATGCCATGCTTATCTTGCAGCCGTATAAAAGTCTTTTTTTTTTTTTTTTTTTTTTTTACTCTGAGCCGATGAAGCAGTCGAGCTAGCAGGCGAATCCATAGCTTTTGGCCCTGCTATATACCGACGACACCAGCTCGATTGGATCCGGCATCTTGGGATAGAGCGAGGAGATACTCTGTATAATATGATTCTGATGAAGAGGAGACAGCCAGGCGGGGTACCAGGTGGAATGCGTATCGGCCACAGCGACGCGAAATAATGAGAGCTCCTGAAAATCGAATGTTCAAGCTATAGGCTTGTACTGTCAAAAAGTTTGCATCGATGTATCAGGTGAGGTGAGCCTGGCTTCAGATCTATTTTCGCTCTTCTTCGGAGCAATAACATTGACTGAAACTTTTGGATAAGGTAGGTGTTCGAGAGCATCGTTGTGGGTCTAGCGTCCAGGCTACATCAACCCCCCATTTCCTGTATGCAATGGATATATCATTCCATACTCCTCTGATATAGAGGCTCTATCTACTCTAGATTTGATCAAGACCTGACATCGCTCCAATCTCTCCCATTGTTAGGTACTTCTCGTCTATGTTGCACATTAGATCGGAGAAGGTGGATCGATTGGTTGTATTTCTGCATTTGCTCATTCCGACTATGACTTGAAGTCGAAGGCAGAAGTGTGCGCAATGAAATGATAGGTGGGCATCCGCTCGGTATCACATCCCAGAGGTATGTCTGCGGGGAGCGCCTTTCCCATCCCTCTTTCCATTTCGCGCAACGCAACTTACCTTTTAAACGTCACGTCAAACGTCACGTCAAACGTCACGTCAAACGTTACGTTAATTCCCCACCTTGTATCCTATATTATACTTCACCTCGTACTTTTCACTTTACACTTCCTTCTCCTCACACATCACAACTTCAACTCATGATGCTGTATAACTCACACTTCGCAACTCAACCTCCACACTTCACGCTCCCATCACCCTCTTTGCTATCCCTCTTATTCCCTCTCCCTTGCCGGATGGAGGGATATCCGAACGTATGTCGGAAGCCACTGCCGCCCATTTTACAGCTGCTGACGATTCTGATTTTAGAAACCCGAGAGATTAACGGGGAATCAAACGCAAAGTTAGTGATGTTCGTTATTTTATTCAACAGATTGCTAAGTCTGCTCATCAAGAAGCCCAAAAAGATGCCCAGGTCAAAGATGCCAGACTGTAAGTGCTCCTTTCCAGTTCCATGAAGCATGACAGCTTTCTGACTGATTGGAATGCAGGAAACGGCTGTGAGTTGAACTCTTGATTGATCACACTAATGAATATTGATTTACATCAAGCACCAAAGCCACGGAGAAATTGTAGGTTGAATGGCTTGCCCAGAGCGACTTTCTGCTAACTTTCATAAAGGACGGCAAAGATCGAGGAGCTGTTAATACAATTCTTCTCAAACATTCCCTGTTCGGGAAATTTAACGCCAATACATCTGTCAAATTACTAGAGAGAAGAGACTTGCCGGGGTGTGAGTTTTACCTACTCAAATATTCGGGTCTGCAACTGCAGCTGCCAGTGCCTTCCTCTTTGCTCCGGTAAACATGTTCTGGGATGACATCATTCGAATGGGATAAATGAAATTTCAGAATCAAAATCGAGGATTATCTGCCCGTATAGAAGTAAAAGTATATTTCTGTCCCAAGCTAGTGGGCGCCATGACGTCAAGATGTCGGTTGTGTCAAATAAACAATCTAGCGTTTAGCGTTTAGCGTTGCGTTTGAGCGCATCCAGGGTCATGGTCAGGTGATAGCTATCCATTTCTTGTCTGAGTGCATACCTAGTATCTACCGGTACTCCGTACGGTAGCTACGGAGGCTCGCTTATTTCAAAGGACCCGGGAAAAGGGGCGGGTGGAAAGGAGCCCGTACAACAAACAATAACGCATGTCACGCCCGACCGCACCATCATCACCCAACAGTCAGTAAGTACGCTTCCTGTGTAACCCGCGAGCCCTAGACCATTTCTTGGGCATGCTACTTTGCCCCTGGGACATGGCATAGCATACAAAATAAATGGCACCCTCCCCACGTCCGTGTCGGTCTTGCATGGATGGATTAATGGCTCTGTGCTTTGGTGGATAAAGAAAGATAGACCAAGGGGTTGGAATTGCTTTATTTTAATCCTTTTATTTCAAAAGCATTAACTAGGTAGGTGCTAGTCCTCATCTTACAAATTTTTGGCGAGCAAAAGGTATATATATGAACGAATGACTCCTCAACGCCAGATGCTGCTGCCCCTTCCGCTCTTTTTCGTAGCGCCAGCTTCGCTCAAAAAAGGGAAGGTGGGGGAATCCGGCTGAACAAAAATAAAATCTTCAAACACCTGCAACGCTCTTTCTCACGTCTCATATCTTTGACAGATAAAGTCATAGGCCAAGAAAGAAAGAAAGAAAGAAAATAGATCTGACAATAAAATGCGCCCCAAACCCAAAAGCCGCACTCAACGCTCAACTGCTCATTGCACATTCAAAAACAACTCGTCGCCCCTCCTAGTCGGTGTCAGCTTCGGCACCCACCCAGGTGTAACAGGCAACTCGATCCTCTCAAACTCCCACCCTCCTCTCGGACTCGGATTCAAAAACATTCCGGTCCCAGTCCCAGTCGCCGTCTCATCGCCGGCTTCCCGCCCTAGCATGGGCTTCCATCCGTCACTCTTAGCGTTATCAATCTCTTCACGCTTCAGCACCCGCCATTTCGCAATCTGATTTCTGTGGTCCTCCTCGCTTCTCAGCGTGAGGGAAGGGGTCAAGGCAGACGCTCGCGAGGCGCCGAGGCGTTTTTGTAAGAGGGAGCTACTGGAAGTCGAGGTGGAGGTTTCCGAGGAAGAGCGAGTGAATATTAGGGAGGGGTGAGAGGTGAGTGGTTCTGGGATAGGGCGGAGGGGTATTGAGGATCGCCCGTCTTGACCTTGGTGGGAGAGAGCGAGGGGATAAAAGGGGGAGGTGGTGGTCGTAGGGGTGGTGGATTGCGGCACTGGAACTAGGACGGGTTCGTTGGGTGCTTCGGGTTGTGGTTGGAGGGATGTTTGGAGAGGGGGTAGGCCATGGGTTATATGGGCACGGATGAAGGGTGCTGGGACGGGTCTGGGTGGTGAGGGATTCGTGGAAGGGTGCTCTTGTGGTATTGGGTAGCGCTGCTGGTTCGGCTCATTTGGGGCTTGGCTTGGTGACTGTTTCCAACCTTCTCGATTTAGCTGTGAGGTAGATCGCAGAAGAGGCCCAGGATTTGGTTTCTCTGGCGGCGACTCAGTTGATGTCCGCAGTCCAGTCTGGGACGGAGAAGGTGGGCTCTTAGCTCCCCTCTGCAACTGCGAACGCGATGGGAGCAGAGGTGCCGGCACAAGACTCGACCGCGAAGCCGAGCGGGATATATACGGCGAAGGAATCGCCGGTGGAGGACTTATCTGCGAGTGTCCTGGGATGAGAGCTGGTACTGGGGGTTGAGGGAATGCAAATACAGCCGGAGAGGGCTCAGCTGCCTCTCTGACCTCTACCGATCGCTGACGTTGATGGCCCAGTCTTTGTCTCGGGTTTTGCAGCACAGCTTGAGCTTGAGCTTGAGCTTGATTCTGGCTCCGCTGGAGTATTGACCTCTCCCTCTCAACCTGGGCAGCAATCTCTGCCTGTCGCCATGGCTTCCCTGCTCCGAGTGCTTTTGTGAAATCCGGCTGTGCTGGCGGAGGGACTAGGCGTATTGTTGCTTGGCTTAATATTCGTGGTCCACCTGGTGGCGGGATCTTGGGATAGCTGACAGGGCTACGGCCACTAGCTGGAGATTCCACGACTGGGGAGAGCGTAAGTTCCGTAGCTGCTACTCGCGGCTGCTTTTGTGAGACTGAATCTTGATGGTCGTCAGGGCCCGGCTGGTAGGAGAGGTTTTTCTCACGAGTGAAGGCATTGTTAACATTGTTACTCCCACTTTCTTCGGCGCTCTTGGCGGAGCCGGAATTCGAGTATAGGGGAGAAGACATCGCTATGCCGCGAGGCTCTTCTGCAACAAAAAGCTGCTGTGGGTCATGTGGTCGTGTGTTCGTATCCTGTGCCCTTAATTGTGGGAAGCTTCCAATTTTACGTCCGCCTACGCTCAGAGGCCTTATGTAGTAGTCTGGATTGGTCGTTGTACTGTTAGGGTTTTGGCCTGGTCTCCAAGCCAAGGCGATAGTATTATGTTCTGGGTCGACTTTCCTGATCGTTTGCCAGCTGCCTGTCTTCGCGCCCAGGACTTGGTTCGTGGGTTTCGCGGTCCAGTAGTCATCGGCTGCTACTGCTGTGTGGGCACTCTCATCGTAATCTTCTTCGAATTGAGTGGCGGTGCTCTGCCTACTGATTACCGAAGGCTGGATGATAGATTGATTAAAGGAAAACCCATTGTTCTGGTAACCAGTATGTTTTGGAACCTTCAGCGTCAATGTTGGCTTCTCAGGAAGCAGTTTCGAGGGTCTCCGTTGTTTCTTTTCCACCGAAACATTCTGGTCAGGTGAGACCGCAAGTCCAATCGTATCCGGCCTGACACTCCTCCGCGAGAACATGTTTGGACTCGATGCATCTACCCTTGGAGGAATGCGTGGTGGAATTCTAGCTGCTATCCCATTCCTGGTTCCTCCCGGTATCCTCCCCGTTGGCTCTTTGAAACTCTTGTACTTGTGCTTTTTAGTTTCTATGACATGATTGGGCTCCAACTGGAACGGAATCAAGTCGCTTTCCCGCGATCTCTTGTTTCGTTGTCTTCGGCAGCAGATCAACAGGACAAGAAGTCCGACAACGAGCGCACCTCCTAGAATGGAAGCCACGATAATGCCTACAATCTGGTCCTTGGTGAGGACTGGCTGTGGAGCAGACGTCTCGGAGGCTACTGAGATGGATGAAAATGTGCTAGATGTGCTGGCTATGCTGGTTCTGCTGGAGCCCACTGGACTAGAAGTTTTAACGCTGCTCGTCGCAAAAGAAGTACTTGATGAGGTCCTGGCACTTGTAATTGTTAAGACCAACGAGCTTGTTGCGATTGACAAACTCGTTGCAGCCGTCGAGCTTGTTACAGTCGTCGAGCTTGCTGCAGGCGTCGGGCTTCTGGACACACTCGAGAACGTAGCCGGCGATGGAGGTACCAACACACTCGGCGTCGAGGTGTGGATAAAAAACGTCGCCGTAATCGTTGCATGGGTATTTGGCAATGCATTCGGCTGCTCCGAACACATACCATATGCATCGTGCACCATGTTACCTGTCACAAATCAGCATTCTCCAACTCACTATTCCAAGAAACACACACATACCTTTCGCATCACCTCCTCTACATAACCCAATATTGATCTCCGAGACAATACACTGCACCGCTCCTTCGCCCACGGTATACCCAGACGAGCTATTCCTCGAGCAAAGGCAATCCAGCATCGGCTTGCTCGAGCACACGCTGGTGGGGAAGTTCGACTCTAAGAAGGAAACGAAGCATTGTTGCGCGCAGGCAGGAATGAGCCTTGCGAGCTCGGATGAGAGGTTGTAGGCTGCGTTGGCGAGTGTTGAGAATGCGGATATCAGGAGGACTAGGCGTGGCCAGCACAATGCCATCCTCGTCACTGTGATTCAGAATCGTCAGCATACTTGGTAGGCATAGTGTCCTGCTTTGAGGTGTGCTGCGGTGACAGGTACCGCTGTATTTGAACACCCAGAGCCGAGACATAATGTCATGAACTCTGCAAAGCCCTCATTCTCGTCATCACAACCGAGATCCGGCTTCTGCCAAACAGCCCCCTAAAGTATGGAACATGAAGATAACAACCAAGAGGAGAGATATAACTGACCTGAAAGAACCAATTATTAGAGGAGAGGCGACCAGCGTCTCATACATAATTACAAAGGAGGATGTAGCACGGCAAAACAATCAACAGCCCATTCTAGATTCCGGGTCTCAAAAACGTACAGCAGAAAAAAATGAAGGGCAAATTGTAAGGAGCTAGAAACGAATTGGCCCACTATCCCTATGCTCAAATCTCGCAATAGTACGATAGGAAAACAACGAGAAGGGAGAACAAGATTGAAGGAGGAAAAGATGATACAAACCACGCGCTGCAGCACGTTTGCATCACTATTAGAGAACTCTCCTCTATCACCACCGTGCATCGTCGTATCGCCGTCGCCCCAGAACACATCTGCAGCGGGCTATTTCGAGCACCAATGGGCCGCTCAGGTGGCCAGCGTCTGACATCATGGCCGCTCTTTTACCCGGTGGCGTCGGCAGCAAAGTCTCAATTGCAGGAGTTATCCATTTAACTACGCGCTGTCGTGGTATCGGTGGTTGCTTTGCAGTTATTCTTGGTGTGAATAGGACGACTGATGGTTGGGTGTCGTCTGCGCGCTTAAGAATGGGCGGTTAGCGAGGGAGTCACGTGGGACTCTAGTTTTTGCACGATGAAAGTATTGACCGTCGGAGACGAGGCGATGCAGGCGATGCAGGCGAGATATGGGGCTTAATCTGCAGAAGTTCTTGCGTAGAAAGGCTTTTTGTATGCTAATACCGCTCAGAGACGACGATCATCGATCGTAGAGCCCTGGAATGGCTGTAACACATTACAGCTCTCTGCAGCAGTCAGGGAGAGCTCCCGAATACATCTAGCCAAAGCTCAAATTCGAAAGATTATTACGATTTCCTCGGCGTACTGTCTTTCTGTTTCCTATCCAGAGGGCCTGCGTGAAAAATCTCGCTATAATTGTGGTATCTGTGTGTGCATCCGCTGTAGCACTACAAACGCTCTAGTTCTCTTGAGACACTCCTGTCGGCAAATAGGCCCCCGCCCCAACAGACACGAGTAGTGGTTATTGTTCCACCCCTGCTATCTATCGAAAGCGATGCAACGCCCGCTTTTTGCGGAACGTTAGTGGTGCGAAAGCCAAGGGGTTTCATCCTTGCCATCTGCCTTCACATCTGGAGATTGGTACCAGCGCGACTCGACTTGATAACAGCCTTGACAACCTGCTCTGTCTTGTCCCAGTCTTCCTGATCCAGTTGGATCAGATCAATACCGTAATGTTCGGCGATAGAGGCGAGTGCGCTGAAACTGGTTCTATCGAAGACGAATGAGATACTGACACCAACACGCCCGAATCTTCCTGTGCGACCAATTCTGTGGAGATAGGTCTCTGGGTCTGGCTCAGTCTCACTACGACCCTTCATGGGAATATCGTAATTGATCACCATCGAAACGGAAGAAACGTCGATACCTCTGGCGAGAACATTGGTGGTAATGAGAACTTTGGCTTCCCCACTGCGGAATTTTTGCAGAATGTTGTCGCGCTCTGTGCCGTCGAATGCACTATGAACAGCAACGACTTTGTGCCCCTCCGAGATCAAACGCTCGGAAATCTTGTTTGCAGTGTCTCTTCTCTGCGAATTGGTTATTATTAGGCGCACAATCATGAGAGGTATCATTCACCTTGACAAAAATGATGGAAGATCCAATAGTCATTAGGCCATAGAGCATGGCGAGGCAATCGTACTTTCCTTCGTCGGATGGGCAGTCCATATACATCTGCTTTATGCCTCCAACCGTGAGCTCATCACGCTTTAGCTTTATTTCGTGCGCTCTAGGGCTGAATTGTTGCGCGTATGTCATGACTTCGTCGGGGAAGGTCGCGGAGAAGAGGAGGATTTGGTCGATCTTGGGCATCATTCTGCACGACGTCAGTTGAAGCCTACTATAAGAAAAACTCTCCAAACATACGATTTAACACGGAGACACTGATCGCCAAGTCCTTGCTGGTCCAGCATGTTATCTGCTTCATCCAAGCAAAGGACTTTCATATTGGAGACATCGAATTGTCTTCTTTTAATGAGATCCATAGCAGTACCTGGAGTACCCACAACAACCATCGCGCTGACCCTAGTATTCCGCTCCACAGCGCCAGGAACTGCGGCTTGAACAGTAAGGCCTGTCACGAATTGACCAATGCTTCTCACGACACCCTCAATCTGACGCGCAAGCTCACGACTGGGCGCAAGGCACAAAGCTTGCGGTTGATGGGGTTTGGAATAGTCTAATCTAGAGAGGATTGTGATGATGAAAGCAGCGGTCTTGCCCGTTCCTGATTGTGATTGAGCGATCATATTCATCGGAGGATCCATGAGTAGCAGAGGGAGGGCTTTCTCCTGAATCTTAGAGGGCTTTTTGAAGTTCATTGAATAAATTCCCTTCAAAATCTCTTCGTTGCTATCCCCCATCAGCTAACGAACAAATAGGGATGGAATCCTCAACGACTCACATTCCTAGACTCTCAAATGTGCTGACGGAGAACAGTGGACTACTTTCGTCGCCCTGAATGTCGCTCAACTTCACCTCGACTTCATACTGCGCATCGTGCAGACCCGAGCCACCGTGAGGTAGTGATGAGCCATCTAGTTGAGCGTCACCCAGGGAAGACTCTGGCTTGCCGACAGCAGCAGGTGGTTTGGGCTCATCCGACCAAGATGGTCCGCCGGGTGTGGTCGAAGAGGTAGCGTCGAGAGGCTTTGCGCCCATGCGGTCCTCAAGACTGGCAGCTTTGGGTGTTTCGGCCATTATGAATCCCGGGTAGGTTGTTCGAGTTTGAGATGAAATTATTGTAGTTTGAAATATCGGCAGTGAAATGCGGGCTGTTTGCAGATGAGGACGGGACGGGACGGAAAAGCCGCGATGATGTCAGAGAGCGAATCGAATCTAGAGAATAATGTTGGTAATTTGGCATTTCTGGGAGCGATATTCACTGACCTGGCTGTTCGTCCGAAGGGCAAATTCAGAGTACTGCTGGTTGTGAACACAGGCGCAACCAGAAGATGGTGGCGTTGATAAACAATACAACGGAGCATTGGAAATTTGGACACAAAGCCCACCCCGCCATGAAAAGTGGGGGCCTACGAAGCAGATCACCTGAATGCCAAGACCCGACTAGCCAATCGCCCCGGCTCCTCCCTTGGCAGCGGATTTTCGGAGCAAGCCGACCGGGATCTGAGGTCGAGCTCGCATTCAGCCTTCATGCGGAGAGCGGAAATACTCTTTCATGGAAAGTACTTAGTGGGGGTGCTGCGCCCTTCAACCAAAATACCATCACATCGCCACGGCTTATGCGCCCCTTCGCTCTCTATTGCAAATTCCATGATTCTACATTTGGTGCTTCATCGCTCGGGTTGCTAAATCATGGCAGATGTTGATATCAGTCCCAATTTTGGGCTGGAACTGAAAGTACGCGGCCTCGAGATATTTATTCCCCTGACTGAGACTGATGTTGTGTTCTTGATTCTAGGATGCCTTCAAGCCCGTGAACGCATGGGTCACCAACGGCATCTACTGGCTCGACGATATTCAGCAGTTCTATCGGGACAGAAGTGCCATTGAGAAGGAGTACAGCGCGAAGCTCACTGCGCTGGCGAAGAAGTACTATGAGAAGAAGTCCCAAAAATCGAGCAGCTTGAGTGTGGGGAATACACCGGCTATGACCCCCGGCTCGTTGGAGAGGTAGGGCGAAGCATCCAGTCCTGCGATGTGTACTTGCTGACATCGCCGGCTGGCTATCAGTGCATCCCTCACGACTTGGACCACACAACTCACGACCGTCGAGTCTCGCGCCGCGGAACACGACGGATATGGGAACGACTTGATAAACAAGGTCGCAGAGCCGCTCCGTGTTGTGCAAGCCCGCTTTGAAGAGGTGCGAAAGCGCCACGCGGAATACGCGGGCAAGCTCGAAGCCGAAAGAGAAGCTACGTACGCGGATCTGCGGAAAATGAAGAGCAAATACGACGCGGCCTGTCAAGAAGTTGAGAGCAAACGGAAGAAGGCCGAGTCCGCGTTCGATTACTCCAAGACGAAGGCACAGAACGCATACCAGCAGCAGGTTCTCGACATGCACAATGTCAAGAACAGCTACCTGATTGCCATCAACGTTACGAACAAGCAGAAGGAGAAGTACTATCATGAGTATGTGCCGGACCTGCTGGACAGCATGCAGGATCTCTCGGAGTCGAGGACGGTAAAGCTCAACAGCATTTGGACGCTGGCCGCACAGCTTGAAAGTGGCATGTTGAAGCGCAGCACTGATCTCGTGGCGCATCTGACCCAGGAGATTCCAAGAAACCAGCCTGCTCTAGATTCCATGATGTTTGCTAGACACAATGCTGGACCTTGGCAAGAGCCTTCTGAGAAAGTCTTTGAGCCAAGTCCAATTTGGCATGACGATGATGCTATGGTGGTGGACGACACGGCGAAGGTGTTCCTCCGGAATGTGCTAGGAAAATCTAAATCGCAATTAGGTGACCTGAGGAGAGATATCGACAAGAAGCGGCGCGAAGTTGAAAATATGAAGAAGATCAAGCAAGAGATTAGAGAGGGCAAGGACAAGCGAGACGAGGTCGAAGTTGTAAAGGCTTTATTGTCAATGCAGGAGGATCTCCATCAAGTCGATCGCAAGCGATTGACGGCAGAAGTCGAAACGGTGACTATCACATTGGCCGTGGGAGACGTGACGGTGGGAGCAAAGAGTCACAATTTTAAATCCCAAACCTTCAAGATCCCGACGAATTGCGATCTTTGCGGGGAGCGCATTTGGGGGCTTTCAGCAAAGGGTTTTGACTGCCGAGAGTGTGGTTACACATGCCACAGCAAGTGTGAGATGAAGGTTCCAGCGGAATGTCCAGGGGAGCAAACAAAAGACGAGAGGAAGAAGCTGAAGGCAGAAAGGCAGGAACGGGCAGCATCGCTCAAGAGCCCAGTAGGTATCACGAAGGAGGGCGTCTCAGAGCCGCCCTCGATGACTCGGACCAATACCATGAACTCGTTGAGCTCTGGCTACGCAGCGAGTGCAAACCGATCAGTTACTGGGAGCGGCCCAAGATCACCAGCGGAAGAAATCTTTTCCGAAAGAGGGAACACTTTGAAAAAGAATAGAGTAGTGGCACCTCCTCCGTCAGGCTACGTCAGTGAGCTACCTGGCAGCGCACCAACAAACGGATCGAACGAGCAAAGAGGAAAAATGCTGTACGCCTATGACGCTAACGGTGATGGCGAACTCACAATCTCAGAAGGCAAAGAAGTCACGATCCTTGAACCAGACGGTAAGCTCCTCCCCGATGATCCACCACTCTTCTTCTGCCCTTTTCTCTTACCAACTCTCTCCCCCTTCACTTCCATCCAGTTAGAACTAACGAGCACCAGACGCTGGCTGGGTCAAGGTCAAGTCCGGCTTCAACACCGGCCTTGTCCCTACCGCTTACGTCGAAATTCTTGCCTCTTTACCAGTACGTCCGGTCTCCGTCTACTCCAACTCCGGGTCCTCCTTCTCAGGCAGCGTCACCAAGAAACAAGGGCCGGCCGTAGCGCCGAAGCGCGGTGCAAAGAAGCTCAATTACGTGGAGGCGCTGTATGATTACACGGCCGGTAGCGATGCGGAGCATTGCATGAATGAAGGGGAGAGATACGTGCTTATCAAAGACGATCCCGGGGATGGGTGGGCGGAGGTTGAGAAGGGGGGGGTAGTGAAGAGTGTGCCGGCGAATTATTTGCGGGCCGTATAGATGGCAAGCGAGCGTCCAGTCAGGTGGTGGAACGGAAGTATTCTGAAGTCGGCGTGAAGGATTTGAAGCGTATTGCATGGCAGCGGGCGTTACTTCTTAACGTTATGGGATGCATTCTTGGTGTAGGTATGTAGTTAGCGACGGGAAGGCGTGAGTGATAGAAAGAAGGAAAGCGTGCGGCACTGCTGTTGTTTCTGTCTGTAGAACTAAGCTTGTAGGTCGTGGCGAAGATTCGACGAGTGCATAGAAGAGGGAAGAGGAGGGGATAGAGATGAGAAGAGAGGGAACGAGCAGGAGGAGGAGCGATGAATTCCAACGCGCAGAGCCTCAACAGCATCAAGATCATTGATGATTGATATAAGTTGAAGCTTTTCCCATTTCGGTTATTATCCAGTTCTTCTCGGCCGCAGTGCGCCCTTCTCTCCCTCATACGTCTGCATACGGGTTGGGCCCCGACAGCAGCCGGCCAGATCTTTTAGCCATTCCTGACTGGTAGGTTACAGTCCTGAATTGGTTGTAGCCCAGCCGCAGATCAGATCTAGGCCTCTGAACCCATCCTTCTTCCGTTCCATTGCCTCTCCTGGGTGATACATACATACATACATGCTGGACGTGCATATCTGACAAGTAAGTATCCAGGGACTCGATTCGACACGGATTGCTTGCTGCTACGAGATCATAAGGAGCCTGATGTAGTCATCAAGATAGCGTGTGCAAAGAGGCCTAGCAATCAGTGACAGAATCCGACAAAAACGAAGGGCCGAACTGGGAATCGGATCCAGGACCTCTGTTCAAACCGCCTCCTGAACATCTTGTGAGATTTATGGCTCGGTGGAGGGCTTTCGATCTGAGGTGAGCAGCAAGGATGAATCCCCACAGTAGCAACTTCGGCCAGAGACATTGCAGAATCCTACCTAGATACTTGATCAAATACACCTGAAAGTTCTCAGCCAAATACTTCATCATTTGTAATCGGGCAGATATGTTTTCTGAGAAGCAGCCGCAGAGTTACTATTTACACGTGACTTACCCGTTAGCGCCAAAACTTGTCTTGTTTACTGCTTCCATCCTGGATCGTCAAGACCAGGCAAAGTGTGACAATACGCCCAACGATCCACCAACCCACGATACTCACGCAGATCGAGAGACTTCAGCTCAGTATTTGGAAAGCCAATTGACGCGAAACTCTCTTTGACCCACACGTTACATCCCGAGCATCGCGACATAGCACCCTCCCTTGATCATCCCCCCCTCATGCAGATGCGCTGCCGAACCTGGAATCAATGACTACTATCGTACGCACGCGAAATCCTTTAGAAACTTTGAGCATGAGCCAACAGCCATCGGCGCGAAGGAGAAGCAAGCGGCTTGCGGGTAAGATACTCCAGATGCCCTGTTTGCGCCCCGAGCGCTAGATGGGCCAGGATACTAACAACATTCATAGCATACGACGAGCAGGATGGAGACTTCGAATTTACGCGTGGACCGAAACGAGCGAAGACCGCGCCGGCACCGCCAGAACCTCTACCTACAGTGGCTCCAGCTCCGTCGGCAAAGAGGGGTAGGAAGCCGAAAGAGAAGGAACGTGACGATGAGCCAGCCGCGACAGCCAAAACCCCCGGGGTCCGGAAGATGAGCTTCTCGACCCCGACTGCTGAGAAGACTTCCCTAGCGGTGCCCAAGAAGCGGAAAATGACGCGTTCCTCCACCAGCAAAGCTCCACATGAAGATGAGAACGGAGATATGTCCAGGGCGAACCCGGCAGAAGACGAGCGCGTCGATGTAGTGGGTGGCACGAATATAGATGCCGTGGGGTCATTTGTGGATCACAGCAAGCAGTCTACCACAATCGCGCTTCCTTTCAGCGACACGCCCATAATAAATCGTAACAAGGAACTGAGGAAGAAGGGGGGAAAGGGGCCACGGAGAAGTAGTCTGGGGCTTCGAGGGCGGAGGGCAAGCTCTTTGATAGATAATGGACACAGCGCGATTCCGCACCGCGAGGTGGAAACATCGGAGTTCTACAAGCACATTGAGGCGGAAGGATTGAGCGAGCCCAGGAGGATGAAACAGCTGTTGACTTGGACTGGAGAGAGATGCATGGGCGAGAAACCGTCCTATGGAGATTTGAATACCAAGGAATTATTAGCAGGTAAGAATTTAGATTTTCGCAAGAGGGGGCCTAGCTAACACATGCAGCGCGGATGGTCCAGGATACAGCGCGAATGGTTCAAGAAGCTTTGTTGAAAGATTTTGCGAACAAATCTGAATTCTCTGACTGGTTTAATCGAGAAGAATCGGCGCCGAGAAAGGTCATCAAGAAGCCCAATCCTCGAAACACCGAGCTCGAAGAGAACCTTGGCGGGCTAGAAGCACGAATAAAGTTGTACGTGGATCTCGAGCGGTATCCCTTCTCCGCATCGGCCTTACTGACTGTGACTTCTAGACTGCGAGAAGAACGAGATCAATGGAAGGTACTCTCGAAACCGACACCCTCACTTCCTCCAATAATTTCCGAAGACACAGCCGAACTGGGCCCTTCGCACATTGACGCCTCACTCTTGACACCCGAACAAGCCGCAATACTCTCGGAGATCTCCTCCTCGTCTGCGCTGGAAACCAGGAAACAGGCATCCGAGCGACTACAGACTTTACAATCGGATCTAGAATTCAACGTGGACCGATTCGCGGACGGGGTGCACAAGTTAGAACAATATCAGCAAACTGTCGGAAGAGTGGCCGACAAAATACTAGCACTGAGTGCTGTGAGATTAGAGGAAAGAGACCGAAGAGAAAGGGCGGAAATCGGTACACGAGATCTGCCTATGCAAGAAGTGCTGCGCAGTCTGAGTCGGATACTGCCAGAGGGAACCAAAGGGAAGTGATGTTATATCCTGACATCAGAACAATATCACTGGCATGCGAGTTTGGGGAGTTGCTGGAGCATTGGGACGGGAATACCTGGAGGCGGATCGGGATTGGAGATTGGCCTCGATGAGGGACGACTTTTCATGCAAGCAATGGTGTTCAGGTGGCATTTATGTTATGTTCTTTTCTGTACAGATTGTTGGAATACAACGAATGGAACGAAGGCTGGTTCAAGTTGGGTCAGCTCGAATCGAATGATGATTATATCCGCCTTGAAATCGCTCAGTTCCTTCGCGTGTTGCATTTCGCTAAACCTTGGCTTATAGAGCAGAAAAAATGATTCACGTCCAGAGAAGCCGGCGGAGTAGTCAAATGCAATGTCATAAGCAGGTTTTGAACCCGATTCAAGCAGTGTTGCTTTAATAACTAGATGGTATGTCTCGTCAAGATTCAGGCGTCCTCTTCCCACAGCAGGTCAGATCTTCTCCGTCCTGCACACAAGATACGCACTATAGAAGCGAGCCCCATCAGCACTGCACTCGCTCCAGATCCGACGCTACCACCACAATCCAGCATAGTTTTAGTTTTCATTTATCGTTCAGCTCACGCGCCAGGATATGGTATCATCTATCTGCCTCGCCCCTAGGCGGGATGTCGTCTCATCGAGACTCTTATATGTCCGGCCCCTCGCTAAAGGAGGCTTCATCTTTGTCAACACAGCATCCATCTTTGCAACCCTCCCATGCACTGTCTCTTGGCCTTGCAGTCTGCACATATCCGTCAGCCTTGTCTCGGTGTCTATACATATAGACACTGCGAAAGTATTTGGAACGTACGAGGTGCCACCTCACATGCATTTTCTCTGCAGACGCATCCTTTCTTGCACTGCGCACTGCCCGAGCACTCTGCGTTATATCGCCAAGTCAATTCCTCGAATCAAACCACAACATTCTCTCCTCTTCTCTTCTCCTTTCTTCTTCTCTCTTCTTCTCTTTCGAGGGCAGAGATGGACTTACCATGCAAATTGGATGTCAGCGGCGGCGGTGGCGACGGCGACGCCGGCGTGAACACGGCTTGCGCTGCGTCTTCTTCCTCTGCAGCTGCTTTCTCCATACGTCCGCCAGCTGAGGCGCAGCGCTTGTTTCTGCAGACGTCGGTGCCAGGGCATTCGTAGTCGCCCGCGCACGTTGCCGTGATGGGAGCGAAGGGCATGCCGAGGTCTTCGTCCTATGCCGGGTTAGCTAGCTGGTTGATCAGGAGTGTGTGCAGGTGCGAGAGAGAGAGAGAGTTTGTGTGTGTGTGTGTGTGTAGTGGGCAAGGGCTTATCTACGGAGAATGTGATGGTTATGTTGATGTCTTCGTTAAGGTCGGGGAGAGCTGCTGCTAGTGCTGCTGGGAGCATGGCCACGAGGGCGACGAGGAGATGATGCATGTTTTTGATCTGTGTCAGGTCAGTTATGAGGTTGCTGGTTGCTGGGTTCGCGGTGGTGCTTTCCTTGGGCTTGAAATCGAGCTGAGTTGAATTGAATTTAGATCGGACTCTTAAGTGTCTCTTTTTTCTGCATGTTATAAGTTGTATTTGTTTGTTTGCTGTGGTCTAGATTACCCGGAGACTCGGGAAAGGGCTGGACTCTCCAGGTTTGCTGATCTGAACTGCTCAACTTCTTACCAATCAATCGGAGGTGGTAAAGTTACGGCTGACTACCTACGGGTTTAGGAGACCTGCTTGGTCGCCAAAGCTTTTTCGTGCTTCCTGTATTCTGTAAACCCTCGAGCCCTCGAGTGCCTCGTCTCTCCCCTGCCGGCCTAGCTTATATATGGATCTATACCGGCAACCGACTCCGGGGATCAGGTTCATGCGGTGTGCCATGGTTCACGTCGCTCAAGATCGTGACGCCCCTCCATCGTATACGTCCGGGCTGCGATGGAGTAGTACAAGATCAGGCTCGGGAGGCGTACAGTAGCTGTGGAACCCTACGCTCCAACCCGTTGGGGATGGAGTGCCAATATTCCGTCGAGATACTCCCCGGATCTATTTAAATGGATTCTTGCATGCCAGAGATCATGCCACTCGAGCTTCGCTCGCTGGTCTGCTGGCTCGTATTGAGTAAGGTGGGTAGCCGTTGTTTACTTTCCATGGACAACTATTTCTGTCGCTGATCGGCCATAGTGCTGAAATACACCACTTCCACGGTAATAATCTCAAATTGGAAGTTAGGAGCTACATCAGTAGCCTAGTGTGAGATTCTATGGAGCGATAACGGTCAACTTCGCTCAGGATAGAAGATTAGTCAGGAGAGATGACTTGGTGGTAGTCTACCCAGATATCAGGGAACGCTACTGTCGGCTGTTTCCCCGAAATCTAGACACTTCTTGGTCGATGAAATTGTCCTCTTGATGGTTGATAGTCAGTCAGATACGATTCAGCAGCAGGTATAGCCTTGAGAGAAATCCAATAGAACTCATACATATTGAATCTTATCCTGAGATCGAGCAATTCCAGCTTCCTCTAGATCATGGCTTTCAGATTAACATGTAGAGCTCGGTACCAGCCGGGCATATTGAGGCGCCTCCCAGTATTGGATGCTGGTTAAGATAAAGTGGCCTCAGTCTATGCTCTTTCCCGCACTCTAGACGGCGCAACGCAGCATCAAAATCGAAAGGGCCGACTACTTGGGATCTGTGGATTCCCAGAACGAATCCCAAGTCCCCGGATGTTGACAGCCGCTGGGACTTGCGCTAGAGCGGTTTTCTAGCGCCACACTTTCATGCCCATTCCCCAGGCAAAGTTTGTTGGTTCGTTTCTCTCATTATAATCGTCAAAAGTGTGATGGTATATCTATGAGCTCGAGCTCTCTCCATTGTTATACAGTTGTATTGGAATCCCGCGCGCCCTGTGAACTATTGCTAGCTTCAGCCTTCAGTCATTGCTCCTACTCGAGAGAGGTATCATCAAGGATGGTGAACAAAGCAGTACGCTCCTCCAGTCCACCAAAATAAGCCAGGAACCCTTGTTCCCGCACGAGATCCCTCTTCATTTTTTCCTCAGAGCCATATCTACTTCTTTCTTTCAGAATATTTTCCTATACACGTTAGAGAATGCAGATACTTACCAGAAGCACAACTAAGGTCGTCGTGCCCGTCGCCATCCTGGCTGTCGTCGCAGTAGCCATACTACTGCTCATATGCTGGTGGTTTCCTCGCGCCTGGGCCAAAGGGACCGCTGCCGATCGAGCGGAGATGGATGAGAACAAGAGACGGCGAGAGGCGGCTGAGGATACGGCGGTGAGAAGTGGTGGCGAGGCAGATATTGAGCTCTATAATCGTGCTGGAGCTGATAGAGGTGGTGATGGGAAGGAAAATTGTGCTAGCGCTGTTGGATATGCGCCACCGGTGACACCGTATTAGGAGGATGGAATACGGATGCGGTCGGTAGGGCTTTTCGGAGAAAGAGTGCGTGCGTGTTTCTGGTGGGTGTAGGCATTATTTCAAGATGGTCTTTCTGTTCCTATATAAGAGTGCTGCACTGAATGGAGTAATGCACGATTTTGTGGCGGGAGCTGAGGCTCTTCTTAATAGTTGAAACTTATATCGTCGGCTTCTGATCCCCGATTGTTGTAGTGCGAGGCCGATGAGGTCGCTTTCTTTCTGCTCACTCATCATCTCATACCCAAAAAGACTTGTACTAGGTGCGCCCTTATGGTAATTTGTTGTGACGTTCCGCAAGTCAGTGACTCCTTGGCGAATGTCGTCGTCACTTAAACGAATGTAAACAAAAGCATCCCAGCACAGAATTCCCGGTCGAACTTTTACATCTCGGACTGACGATTTATCAGGGAATCGGTTGAGTCTTACTTGATACCGCAAGAGAAAATGCGACATCAATAATATTGGAAGTGTACTGCCGGAGTGAGTCCGTGGCTCGACCTCGCCCTCGTCCGTATTTCCAAGCAATATTCTCGAAGCTAGAACAGGGCTCGTATTTCCACAAGCCTACCACATACTTGTCTTTGGAACATAAACCAATTCTGAAGACACACCTTCCCCTGCACCCAATCTATAGTTGTCCAGAGATATTTAGGTCACAAAGTTACCGGACTCGGCTCTCTGGATTTATTTTCTTCTCCTCCTAAGGAAGCGAGAGAAGATCATGACTTTCGGATTGAGCATATAAAGGCGACAGATAGCCCCAAGAACCCGAGGCAAAATTCGATGTCTTTGTTCCATTGCCGCAAAGTGACGAAATCTTTCTTTGTGCCACCGACGCGGCCACAACCCACATCAGTACCTGCTCCCTACCTCTCTTTGAAATCTCTCGATCGCACAACCATGAAAAGGAAAGTCTCCAGCTGAGACCCGTACGCACTTCCACTCTCGTCGAGCTGAGCTGAGCTGACCGGTAATAGATACCAGAACATGTTACAACATAGCACGTCAACAAGCTGCAGCCTCGGGTCCAGCTTCTTCCAGATCCTCTCCCTTCTCACCGCGGCAGCTAATCTGGTGCACGCCCTCGAGGCAGTACCTGCCATCACCACCACCAACAACGGTTCGTACGCCAAGCTGCTCCCCGAGCCCGAGTACAAAATACTGGCACCGCAGCTCGCGGCACGCGGTGGCGAGATGGCCGATGCGGGATTCGCCGACGACGCGCAGTTCCAGTCGCAGCTCGTCAGCGACCACGTCTGGTACCGCGCCCAGCACGGCGCCGGCCCCGTAACCTGGAGCGACGAGCTAGCCCGGTCGAGCAGTACGTGGATCGAGAATTGCAAATTCGGACACTCGGTAAGGAAGAAAAATCAAACCTGGCATAGCATTGCATATACTGCCCCCACCCCCCCCCCCCTTTTTTTGGGGGGGTACCGGTTACGGTTTTTGCTTGGTTTACTGTTCCGAATCGATGACGAGGGTCTCCATGAGATTTCCCAAGGCTGACGGAGGGGACGTTTCTTTTTTTGATTAAATAGGGCACACCAGGAGTCGGGGAGAATATTGCGCTCGGGTACTCGAAGCTGGTCGATGCCGTTAACGCGTGGGGACTGGAACGCGTGAACTACGACTTTGCCGCACCGGGATTCTCGTCTGGAACGGGCCATTTGTAAGTGAAAGAGAAAAAAAAGAAGAGATGGGAGACTCAATTCAATCATTTCTCTAGAGATATATGTTTATGTTTATGTTTTTGTAAAGCCGGGAAACGAGTTTTAAGCGAGCGAGCGAGCAACGGCTAACCTCTCTACTCTTCTGCACAAGCAGCACGCAGATGGTTTGGAAAGCTACAACCAAAATAGGATGTGCGAAGAAACAGTGCAGTTAGTTTTTCGTTTTCGTTTCGTTGGTTCGATCGATCGATCGCGCTGCACATACATACATACATACATTTTATGTATATGTATATGTATGCTACTTGATAAACGAGTTACTGATGCGGGAGAGACAGCCGTGCCCGGCTTTGGCAACGGGGGTCCGGCGTGGTATCTCGTGTGCCAGTATTCCGCGCAGGGCAACATCGTCAACGCCGGCTTCTTCGAGACGAACGTGGGAAGGCAGGTATCGGGGGACCCGAAGGTCGGCATCGTGGGTACGCTTCCGGTTGTCGTTCCTCCTTCACCGACAACAGTCGCAAAACCTCCTCCTCTTCCTTCGTCACAGACGCAGACGCACGCCACAACGACCACACCAGCACCAGCACCAGCAAACCCCCCCGTAGTGACGGTCACTATAACGAAAACCGTAGTGGGAGTAGGATTAGGACCAGAAGTCCCTACACCATCTCCTCCCTCGTCCCATTCCCATTCAGCAACAGCAGCATCAAAGCCAACATTCAAACCCGGCCACAGCAGTCTCGGTTTCGACGACGCCCGAGCCAATGAAGAAGCAAAAGCTGCAACATCAACGACACCATCGTCATCCTCAACCAGTGTAAGCTACCCTCCATTCATCCCATTCATCCTCGGAAAGAGCGAGGCAGCAAGAAGCGTCAACAGCAGCAGCAGCCACAGGTCAGCATGCCAGACCTCCCCCCCCCTTTTTTTTTCTTTCTTTGATTACCCACCCACGACTCTACTTCAAGACCATGAAGAGGATATCTATTCCCAAACCCAAGAACTCTCTCTCTCTCAAAAAGGCCATGCTCGCTTAACTGATGCCCCCCTTTGAACCCCAAAGAAAAGAAAGAAGATAGAGAAGAAAAAACAATACAAGGAACAAGAAAGAAGGGAGGAGGAAAAAAAAGGATGATGCTAATCCGTGAAAACAGGAAAAAGGGGAATGCTCTAGCCGGCTTTGTCGGTCTCTTCTTGGGTTTTTGAACCGTCTGCGATGAAAAAAAAAAAAAAAAAAAAAAAAGACATCATCAATCATGGTTGAGGAGTAAGTATCTCGTTCGCCTTCGGATAGTTAGACACCCAAGAGTTTTGTGTGGGGTGGAGGGGTCAATTTCGGCTCACTTGTTTAACTTAAATGTTGTTTAACTCAGTCAAAATCCGTAGGGGTTCTGTGCACTCGCATGCGCTGGACCCACTCACTGTCGTCGGGGAAGGCTTCCATTCTACAAGCACGGAGAAAATCAGAGCATGTAGGCTGGGGGTACACATCAAGCGAGGCAATCTACTACATGCATAAAGTGAAGGTACAGAGGAATGAATGCCTTTCTGTCTATCCGGTTTCTTCATTATTTACATTATTCTCGGTCTCATCTACCTAGCTATCTACGAATAAACATTCTCCTCTCCTCTCCGCACCTCTTCCCTTCCCTTCCCTCGAATGACAGACCGTCCAGATCCGCACAGAGATGCATGCATGAGCAAATTTATATACAGAAATAGGAAGGGTATATCCAACAACAATATTAACAGATCCTCGGGATTCGAAAACTTGAGAAAATCTAACACTAGATGACAAGTTTGAAAAAGAGCAGCCGCGCCAGAAGGGTATAGGTAGCAAGAAGCAAAACAGCCGCGCCTATGCAAGGTAGCAAAACTGGTGACAGATGCAAAACCACTACTGTCAAGTGCGAAACCCTAGGATTTTGGCCACTAGCAAGGAGGAGGCCGTTTCTTTTAGCTTTGTCGGATCGAGGTATGGTGTAGGCGTTCCTCGCTCGCTCTGGTTCTCTCCATTCTCTCACATCATCATCAACCTGGTCGTCCTCCTCTCCATCCTGTTCGTTTCTCCCCATCTTCCCCCAGGGCCCAGCGACCTTCCCTGCTGTGCCCTCCTGAAAGCATCCTTTTCGCAAAATGCTCTGCCATTAATCTCAAAATAATCGTTCTTTAGACTTCGCCTGCAGTCCGCACATGTCAGACAACTCGGATGGAACTTCTCTCTTCTCTCGCTTTCCAGGTACTGTCCTTCGATACCGCGGTCACAGGATTTGCAAACGCTGCCGTTGAGCTTGTGGTAGTGGCGCTCGCAATAGGGCGCATCATCGATCACGTAGAATGTAGCAGTTTGGAAGGGCTCGAAGCAGGTGGCGCAGACGAAGCAGTGTTTGTGGTAGCGGCCTGTGAGGCGGCCATCGGCTGATGAGACGGATCTGCCCTTGATGGGGAGACTGCAGCCTTTGCAGTTACCCTTCGAGCTGGCTGGACGCTTACCCGTATCAGGATGTGCAGATGGCAAGGAGCCACTGCTGTTTGCTGTTGAAGGTCGTTGGTGAGGATGCCCAAACGGCGAGGGGGGGCGTCTTTGGGCTAGTGGTGCTGGGGAGAGAGAACGATTGGTATTTGCCGTTGAGAACTGATGAAAATTAGACTCTTGGGGTCGGCTTCTATCAGGTGACGATGGACGTCTTTGAGTCAGCGGTGCTGGGGAGAGAGAACGATTGGTATTTGATGTGGAGGGTCGTGGAATTGCGGGCTCCCCAGGTCGGACTTCAAAGGGTGACGGAAGACGTTTTGTGAGTGGCGCCGGAGAGAGACGGCCTTTTCCTTGTTGGATTGCCAGGTCCATGAGCATAGACGGCGACAAGTTACCCGGCCTATCTTTTGTTTTGTTAGGAATTGTCCTTATATTCCTCGAGGGCGAAGGCGGAAGGTTGGGCAAGTTCTTTGGTTCCAGATCAGATATTGAATTCTCCAAGTCGGCTATCAGGTGATCCATTTTTAGACCATCAGCTGGCTGCCGGCGTACGGATCGCGGTGGACTCGAGTGGGAGCTTGCTTTGCTAAGGTCGCTGTAGCCGGAACTATTCGATGACGAAGACTCGTTTGACGTGTGGTATGGGTTGTTGATGCCAAATTCTGCGGCTAGATTGAGGTTTGATGGTGCAAGAGGTTTATCGCCTAGTCTGGAGTCTTGTCGAGGCCTGATCAGACTTACTCCTTGTGGCGGTGGAGCTCTTGAGCGATCCGGGCCCGACATGGAAGGCTTCTTCATTGTCGTCGCGGGCGGGCCTGGTCGCCCGCCATCATTCGAGGGGTGGTGCGATCGCGGGTCCGAAGGTCCTCTGAAGAGCTCGTCTTGGCTGTCATTCCGTGGGGGGAACGCCTGAGATCTGTTCTCGTGGGTGAGAGGCTCTCTCTGGCCATCATCCCCGAGTGGTGCACCGAAGCCACCATATCCTTTCTTTCTTGGTTGTCTGGGGGCCACGATGCCGGATCTCGAACCATGCGAGCTATGCGTGTCATTCGTGGAGGTCCGAGAATGACCTCCAGGTCCTCCAGTTGCAGACGGATGTGCTACACTTTCTCCCACTGTATAAATCTTATTGGACAGTGTAATATCTGCCAAACTCCCAGCAGTTCCATTTTCCCTGTAGCCTGGGCTACTCGGTATTCGCCCGTCAAACGGACCCGGGGCGATAGTATCCATCCTCTGAAGAAGACCACCAACAGTCACCGTCCTTGGACTGACAGGCGCATAAATGCTGTCTGGAGTACCCTTTCCACTGCTTCCACCACTTTTTTCATTTCTCGGCGATACCAACGCCGGACTTCTGAAAGGAGAAAACGAAGAATCCATGTTGGACGAAAGGGATTCGGGTGATGGCGATGCTCTCGGTATAGTTAAAGTTGTACTTCGCAAGCCGTGGTAGGATCCGAACGGTGCTCTTTGGCCATCACCGGGTGACATGGGCGAGGCACCTGGAGATGGCGATGTGCTGACTGGTGTCAACTCGTCGTGCCTATAATATTGACGGTCTAGTATGTTAGCACTTTCTCAATGTGTATTGAATAGGGCTGCATACTGGCTGCATGAGTATCTACTTTCGGCGGTAATGCGCGCCCCGGCTTCAGATATCTCGCGCCATCTTTCGCATTCTGCTTGGATGACATTCGGTCAAAGATGCCATGAGATTCTGGAGGAGGCGTCGCTGCTATCGTTAGCTTTTGAACACTCGAAAGGTACCATGTTAACATACATCCTTTCGTCGGTGAATGTGGTACATCTGGCCCTGGTGGCACTTCTCGCGGCAATTCTCGTGGCATTTCTCGTGCTGGTTCAGGGCTTCCACAGACATGATCTCCCATGTGGAAGATCTCGATATCTTTCGCGCACATGGAACATTTTATCGTTGGCAGATAACTCAAAGGTCGTTCGTTGTATGCCATCCTTCGTCGACCTCTCTGCCTCGAGACCTTCGGTCATTCAAGGCAAGATCACGAAAACATGCGGCAGTGCCGTCCCTGATGCAGCGTTGCGCTTTCTCCTGGATTCTTTCTATCCAAGCGTGGTTGACTGAGCGCTTCCTTCTTCTACCAGAGGGCACCCTTATGATCGATCGATTTCCCCCCCAAACACGGCAGGCAGAGTTTGATGCTGGTCGAGCTGGCAGATCGGATGGCAAGCCTGATGTTGTCTCTTTTGGTTCGTCCGACAGGAGGGAGGGAGTCGCGCTGGGTCGTTCGTGGGAGAAGAATGGGATGGATGTGCGCTGGGCGGATCTACAGGCTGGCGAGATGGAACGACCGACTGGCCAGGCTGTTGCACCTTGCCTGGAGGAAAGCTGGAACGAAGGGTAGAGGGAGAGAAACGTGTCGGGATTCCAGGGAGTGGGAGTGGAGGGAGTGAAGGGAGTGGTGGGAGTGGTGGGAGTGGTGGGAGTGGTAGGAGTAGTGGGAGACGTCGGAGGTACGTAGGGACTGAAACAATGCGTTGTTGGAGGCTGCCCAGGCCTATCTATTAATCCGGACGGGAATCCAAGCTTCATCTCCCCTGGTACTTACAGACTGGTACAGTAAGTAGCTCAGGGGCTGAACGGGCGCCGGGCCGTAATAGGGTCAAGTGCAATTTCTCATAATTGAGGTCTGCATACTAATCAAAAGACCCACTCCATTTATAGAAGATATCGTACAGTAGTTATGCTTCATTTTGGAAGTTATGCGGTCGACGCTTACAAGGTCGATCGATGGATATATCCTATCTTCATCTCTCCCTTATCCTGCCTGCATAGTATTCGTCTCTGAGTGGTACTTTTCGATATACAGTCAGTCATGGTGGATCCCTCACCCCCCCTTTCAACAGTCTCTATAAGTACTATACATCCGTAACCGCCGAGATGATAGTCGGCTGCCTCATCTCAAGCAACAAGCGAAATCTGAGTACTGGACGGGCGATGATGCCGTTTTTGTCTTGGGCGTTAAAGTTTCTTTATCAGACTGAGACTGAGACTGAGACTGACCGAACGACCGACGGACGGACCGACGGAATGTATAGAGTAACTCTGTATGGAGGAGACGAATACTGCTTCGACATCTATAATTATGGTCCTAGCTCATTCAGTACAACTCGATCTCGTTCTTCATAACACGTAGTATATCGAACTATAACTTTTGATTTTGCTAAAACCCGTATCCGTACGTCGCTAAAGACAATCAGCCTTTCCAAAGGATCTATAAGATTTATGCCCGCGAGCACGCTTGGGCCTTCATCAGTCGTCCACTCAACGTAGAAATTTATCGACAATTGAATACCTACCGGTAGCTACGTAGTACATAGCCAGCTCAATTGTGCAATCGTCGTGATGATGAGGCCGTACGTTGCTAAACCCACCGTTCACTTACTTACTTCTCTTGCCTGTGCGAAACCCCTATGAGCTCCAAGTACAGCTAGCTAGGCTACCACTACAAATATTCAGAACAAGGTCCGTCGTCTATCCGCCTTTACTTACGGCCTTTGCTTTAAGGTACGGTTATCTGCAGAGAATTCGACTAAAATAGATGCGGTACTTACGATAGGTGCATAGCTGCTGGTAGGTGATCCCCCGCATCCCCCACATCCAAGGTGAAACGGTACCTATTTTGCTTCAATCTACTCGACCCTAGCTCTCTCCCAAGAGCGACCTGCATATTTCCTCTTGTGATAACTGGTTTTCTATCTCATGCTTTTTTCACTCTCTTGCCGATAGTAGCAGTACGTAGAAGTAGTACTAGTAGTAATCGTCGGCTCAGACTGAAAGGATGTAACGAGGCCCACCTAAGCGAGCCGACGATTATTGATTTACGTAGTACGTCGGGCGGGTACGGTATCCAAAACGCAATGCTTGGACCCTGTGGACCTCCCATGGGGCACGGCGACGTGCTAAGTAGAGGAATTATATACAAAGTACTATTCAATCGAGCTCTCTTGCCGATAAGAGCGTGTGGCGGGGACGTTTCCTGGTGTTGGATAGGTACCTAGTTAGGTCGGTAGGTAATAATAGATGGATTTTGGAGCCGAGTTGACTCACTGAGTTATCCTAATTTTAGAGTCAGCACCAAGGCCAAAAGTCTGGTAAGGTGGACAAACTCAGAAGCTAATCATTGACCTAATCGTCGGTTGCCTTGAGTATACTTGTAAAAAATCGGCACTACAGGATACTTTCATCGACGCACAACAACCATTAATAGAAACAATAGTATGAGAAAATATCTAAATGCTTGGAAAATATGGCTTTACAAATGTATCTCATATATATAAAGATTTATCTATTCACTGCAAGTCAAAACACTGCGATGTAGTGAAAATATGGCTTAAAACCGTCCCAAGAAATCAAATATTGCCTATCCGTCTCGAATATCCTAGCAATTACATATATATGTATATATAGATCGACAAGAAACTATCGATTCTATTTCACCGCCACAGGCAATAATTACTAAATGAACGTTGGTGTGTAAAAAATCTAGTCTTAAAAAAAGAAGTCCGATTTTCGTATTCCTCGCCTATTTCCAGTATTTACACGGCTACGCCTAGGTAGTCAGCGCACGGATGGAACAACTCTATATAATTAGAACTTTATCAATTGATTATTATTAAACTCGATGAACTCAATGACATGCATATTTTTATACAAGGAAGATTACGATATACGTAGTAGTCAGTGGTTTATTTTCTATCGATTTTATAAAGGCCAATAGTAGGTGTTCCGGGCTGCTTGCTGAGTATACCGCTTTGGTCGTGCCAGGTGGGATTTTTTTTTTTGAAGAAAAAATCCAAGGTAATAATGATACTTGACGTCGCAAGAAGGGCCCCAAAAGTTGCGACGTCAAGTTCCCACATATTAATCGACGATTATGACCCATCGACCTGCGTGGGGGGGTTTTTTTTCTTCCGATTTATCATCTCGATCGGCGGATACTACCTCGGTACAGGCCTGAGTATTACCCCTCGAGGGTGCCTCAAAAGTGTAGTCTCCACTTTAATCCCCCTGGTTACACTACCTTACACTCGAGGGGTAATACTTACGCCTGGCACATAGTATATTTGGCTTATCAGTCTGCATATCGTTCTGCTTCGAAGCTACCGGTACTACTAATTCCGTGCTCTGGCCTCTACTGTGAGCTGACGTCATAGGGTTAAGTACCTACCTACGTATACAACTACTACGTACTACGTATGTTGTGTCCTGCACTATAATTGTGTATCCGTAAACCATCAGGACAAATACTACTAAGTTCTTGATTATAAATATCAATCCTCTTCGAAGCGCGGGCCGAAACCTTCCATATTGAATTAGCTTTTAGTTCAGATAACTAAGCAAATCGATTGAGCCTTCGAGGTACCTTTTTGTAAATAAACCCAATTCATTAATTGTGGGCTGAACTATGATGTTTACGCAGGTTGAATTTTCCGGTGATGGACGTCGCTTATCCCATTGGAAGATGGATGTTACCGGAACTGAAGGCGGTTTATTCTTGATTCGGTAGGAGGGATTGTTTATTGGTGAGAAGAGGCGGGCTCGCTCAATTAAAGCCAAGTTGTAAGTACTGCCGGCGGCTAACGGCGCAGGGGAATTCATCTAGGGCAGTTGAAACATTCCTAGACCAAGAATCGTTTGAAGCGCCGGCCGGGTGTTGAGAGTTAATCGGAGAGGAGATACCGTATGAGACTGACTGTACGTAATTGTGAAGAAGGGCGTGGATCGAAGCGCTAATGTCTCTCTCCCTTCCTTTCTTTCTGGTAGTCCGACCTCGTCTCAATGTGGAGCACGAATGTACTTACTACGCAAGTGCAATTTATAAGCTCCAACCCTAATTCTAGTTAGCTTCATCGAAGTTTTCCATCCTTCCTTACTTCATGGATTTAATTCATGCCGACTAGAGAGCAAACCTGGTCCGGCCTCGAACTATCTCGACAATCGACACCGATATACGTTACTTACGTTATAACTTATTATTACGGCTTTTCCTTCGATATAAGATTTTATCTTTTTTGCGATCTATTCTATTTGTAAAAAAAAGCATAGTCGAAAGAAGCTGCGCTGCACCAACTTGAATTGCTTTTAAAAGGCTTCTAAAGATTGTAGAACACCGCGGGATCAAAACCCGGTGCTATTTGAAAAGAAAATTTTCGTTAAGGTGGTTTCCACTTTCGATTAGAAAGTACTTTGTATATAATTTCTCTACTTAGCACGTCACCGCACCCTATGGGAGGTCCTAGGGCGGCAGGCAAAGCCTGCCACCCGCCCGACGTTAATAAATACAACAACAACAACGACGACGACGACAGCAACATAGAAACACGGAGACTATGGAGTACCTGATGCAGTACTCAGCCATGTCTCAGCGTAGGCTATCCAGGTTATGGAACAACATTCGCTTCGTCTTTGAGCCAGGTAGGTAGCCTTTCAAAAAAAAAAAAAAAAAAAAAAAAGGAACAAGGACAAGAATGTTCTATTCATGACGAGACAACAAACACAAGAACAAGGCCAATCACAACAAGGATAGGAGCAGCTTCCGAAATCCTCAGATGCTGTATATACACTTGCCTTGGAAAGCTTAGCGACATGGCTATACGTGAGACACAGACGACAAACATCTCCCACTTCGTCAAGGTACAACCACAGACATATACACACACTCGAGTACCAGGCATCATGAAGAACACACACACCACCCTACCCGTCTGGTTTCCAGAAAGAGAACCACGAGTCTGCACCATCTTCTGGCTGTTGAACAGCTGCGGCTGCGTCCGCAACAGCGACCACGACATCGCCCTCCACACCTCGCCATGCAAGCAGCGAATCACCGGCCGGCCGTGGAAGAAGTGCCAAGAGCCCCAGAAGAAACTCTGGGCCTGGGAAGACCAGCCCTGTACCGACTGCGCAGCCATCCCCCTGAGAATCATCATCGAGCCCGAAACCCCGCGGCCACGGAGCCCGGACCCGGGCCCAGAGAGCTGGGTCATGCTGCAAGGAGACAGCGAATCCCCAGTCGCGCAAGGCACCGAGACGCTGTGGACCGAGATCCCGAACGGCCAGTCGCCGAGCGGCTTCAGACGCATGTGGAGCGAGTCGAACCGGCCGGGCGCGAGCCCTGCGCCGACGGCCGAACATGTCAAGCTGCTCATCAAAATCCAGCGAGGGAAGCGCGCCGAGGCGGCACGCAGACGCTCGGCGGTCATTGAGGCTGCGTTCGAGAGCTACGCTGCTCGGGAACGTGCTCGAGACCCGGCACTGGTCATCATGCCTCCACGGGTGTTCAAAGACCGTGACGAGATGCCGTTGAATGTGGCGGCTGGCCTTCCCGCAAATGCGAGATGGTAGACGCACCGCAAATGCTTGAGGTGCCGGGTAGGGGGAGGGGGAAAGAGACTGACTGACATGAGAGGACCCTGCCAAAGGTAAGAGATGTGCTTGGACTTGATCGCATGGCGTGCTTGAAAGTTCCTGATTGCTGACTTTGACTTACTCGCTTGTACTGTTTACAGCGGGAGAGCGAGGGGTTCCCGCCTTGTTGACCTTATGCCTGCTTGCCTGCCTATGCGAGGCACCTTTGAAATTGATTTGATATCCAAAAAACGAGTCCTATCATCGATTTAAAGTGATTAAAACAGTGATGATCCAAATCTCGGCTCTTATGGCTTCTACCTGAGGTCAGAAGGACTTGAAATAATCAATAGCCGATAATAGCGAATCCCAGGGAGATTTCTGTCTTGGCCTGTAGGCATATAAATCATCGGCTGCGATAAATATTGAATACCAGCGGTCATGTTCTTACACACGCATGGGCGTAGGCCGAAATGGCAAGGCTAAACCCCTTTTCACACCTGCATAGCCTCGCTTGTAGTTCCAATTATGGAAGTACACGTTGCTCGTTATTCGTATCCGCAAGTTATTTCGCTGCGCTTCACTCTAGACTACGTTTTCTCGCACCAAACGAAGAGCATCCAAGCTCTTTCAGACCGCCATGCCACCCTCTCCTCCCAGCATCATCAAACTTCTCGCCTAAATCTCAGTTAGTGTCGATTCGCCAACTCTCTAAAGCTGCTGGCTCACCAAACCGGTTCACGCTTCTGTACCGACGGGGTGCTGATGACAGCGTTTCGATCCGCAAAAGGATCATTCTCGTCTTCCTCCTCAACATCGTCTTCATCTTCTTCGGGTTGCGGAATGACAGGCCTTGGTGGTTTTCTTGGCGGTGGCGGTGCACGCTTGCCAATAGATAGACCTGCGAGTTGCTGAGCTGCTTCATTTTCTTTACCCTTTTCGGACATCACTATCATTATATTAGCCATATGCAGAAAGAACCTTCTCTGTTACCTGTACCTTTATACATGTGTTGTTGGGTGGCTAACTCGTCATCAGAATCGCTGTCGGCATCAATAGAACGATCAAGCTGCTCAAACGTCATGAGAGCCTCGACAAGCTGGTCGTTAGCATTCAGCAGAGACCCAAGGTACTCGTCTCCGGGAACAAGTTGGATCTGAGATCAATTCAGTACAGACAACGTTCAATCAAATGACTTGCACTTACGTATCGCAAAATCTGACGCCGGAGTGCCTTGCAAACGTCGAACTCACGTTGAACATTCTCGTTTTCTGAAACTTGCTCTCGTTCGCGGTTGACCGTTCTCAAGGCATTCAGCAAGTTTGTAGATGCAATAGACGAGTCGGCAATAATCTCCTTCATTTTACCTTTCTCCGCCTCGAGGTTGAAAGTCTTCGCGTTTTTCTTTTTCTTGTCCTTCTTCGCTTTTTTATCATTGGCGTGAGATGACATCAGCGGTATGTGAGCAAAGCTTGGTTTTGAACTTTTGCTGGATTGACCAAGTGAGGTTTGACGAGCATGAGTTGCTGGAGCAGGAGTTTCCTCTTCGTCATCTTCGCCTTCGAATGGGTTTTCGGTCTCTTTCAGCACCTTCGACTTTTCCTGAGTGACCATCTGCTTACGACGAGGCAGTTGCTGACTCTCTATTAGCCAGTCCTCTGGGCAGCTGCGAAGATCAGTCTACCTTGTAAAGACCCGCAATTTGCTCAAGTCCACGAATATTCTTGTACTCCACTGCCCATTGTCTGAAGAGCTCCATGCATTTGTTTTTAACCTGAGGGTCAGAAAGATCGGAGCTTCCACACACACGGAGACGTTCCAACAGCATTTCATCAGCAAAGGTTCGCTGGAAACGTGCCCCTGCATTTGAGATCAGACCATCCAGAAGAGTGAGAGCTCGAATCTGTTGATGTACATTGCCGTACTTTAGCTTCTTCCGAATGGAGCGGGCAGCTTCTGCTGGACCTGTTGCTTGAAGCGTGATGGCCTCTACCAGGCCTGGAATTCCGGCAAGATCATCTGCCTCGTGGCTCCAACTTGTGAGATTCTCGACCGCAACGGTCACCGCCGAGTACGGTTTTTTCTGTAAATTATTTGATCAGCCTTGTTCCAGCCTGATATTGTAATTCTATAGAACGCCCTGACCCTTCATAGGTATCTTGACGGCAACATAGGCAACAGGTAACGTTGGGCAGAAATCGAACAACATGTACAGTGTCGAGAAGAAAAAAGACGTACGTTTGAGAACATGGGACTTTCTTTTTATTCTTGCAAACGATGAACTGGTTTCCCGTGGTGAGTTGTATTCAGGCTCCTCGATAGGAGGCCGTCCTACCTAGCTAGGTATCTAGGTTGATAACCATCCAACGAGACTCGTGCTCTCGATCCGATCAATGGGAGGCCAAGACTGAAGCTGTGGCTAATTTCGGGAGCCTCCGTATGAAAAGGAGAACTATAGGCTGCCAACAGAAGGATGGGTTTATTTGTTGCTGCTCTTTTTCAAAGCGAGGGCCAAGGCCGGGGGGTAGTCTTCGTCGTTAACGTGACTTGTGAAAGCCGAAATTTTTGGGGTGTTGTATATTGAGGCTTGGTTCAGGATATCAATATTGCCCTGGATCTGTTGTATTCAAAGAATGTGAATTAGAAGTATGAAAGACCAGAGGCGATGGGGACATGTCCCATGTAGGTTGGAGGGAAAGAATGAATGCCCGGTTCTGAGTCATGCATGTGACCGCATTGCCGAGAGCTTCAGCCTTGTCTTGCCCTTTCCACTTCTTCGGGCTTGCTGGCGTGCGCCTCTCTCTCTCCCTCGGGCCTAGGCGTCGGCATCCATCAATACCTACATAGATACTGCATGACACGATTGACCAGCGTCTGCCGAGCGGCACAGCCATAAGGTCGGGAGGTGCAGGGAATTCACACAGGATGTCGACATCTCAAGGCCGGGATAAGGTGGAGGAGGAGATGCAGCAGGTAGCGGCATCAGCATTGACCTCGACCTCGACCTCGTGCGTATGTTTACTGCTGGCTTACCCATCAACTAATGTGTACGCTACAGAGATGGAAATTCATGTGGGGCGCTATCAGCATTTACACCTGTCAACGCAAATCGAGCTTCCATTGAATTTATCAGTCCGTTGAAGACACCCCAGGAAACCCGAGTGGGACAAGACATCCCCGAGGAGCCAGCACTCAAGCGGAGGAAGGGGGGAGCTGCGCAGGCGAACAAAGGGCGTGCTGTTTCGACAGCACAAGTGTGGGAATATAGGGACGAAGGGGATGTCGTGGCTCACAATGCAGGGGCTGATTTCCAGGCATCCTTCCCCAAGAGAAAAAAGTCAGCACCAGCCAAACGCTCCAAGGCTGCCCCAGGACATTCAGAGAAGCTCGATCAAGTGTGCGGTCAAGATGGCCCAACTTCGTCGTCTATGCAGGACTCTGAATACCGTGGCCAGCAACAGGGTTCTCGGATGATAACGCCTCCTGATTCAGGAACACGGCTCACGAAAAGAGCGGTGTCTTCGAAGGCACAGAACCCAAAATTCAAGCCGGGTCCATTCCGCAACAGTGTGATTACAAAATCGTCAGTATCTCGCGAAGGCTATGGGCTCGTCACAAAGCCTGTTACCATACTCCAGGGGTGGACAAGCACAGAGGAGACTATGAAGTCGCTATCGAACGGAATATCAAAGACGACACTTGATAGGTTGACCGCCTTCAGATTTAGGCAAACTGCAGCTCTACCAAGCCCCGGCCATTCGCTTCCCCAGAGTGACCATGTGCCAGGGAATGAATCCGAAGAACTGTACGTCGGGGCACCTTTTTCACCACCGTCGATTGACGATGGACCGATTCCCAGCTATGACTCCATTTTCGATACATACCATCAGATGGACCAAGAAAATGATCCAATTGTTGTTCCTCAAGGAACTCAAGTTGAACAGTCGCAAAAGCCAATATGGGGCAATGAAACCGGCGGACACGCCAACTTTTGCAATAGCGCTTCATGGGACATCAGATCAAGTCGTGCAGCCCATGATATGTATCTTTTAAAACCACGCGGTACCCAGGTTCCAATAAATTGCACCCCTAGCAAGCTTTTACAAAATGAAGAAGCCTCAAGGCTCTTCCCACTAGTGGCAAATGTTGGGCGCGGAATTCCGCAGCATGACTCTGACTTCGGAGAACCCTCGTCAAGTGATTTTCAAGCCATGACGGGCCTAGAAGATGAAGCTCACGGCATACATCACAACAACAGGCTGCTTACCGATGCCCTTCTACCAGAGCACTCAAATCCAGAAGAAGCTCAAGACACTGATGGGTGCGGTATCAAACACAATTCGGATGATCCAGCCAAAGTCCAGGTCGATGTTGCAGGTTTCTCTTCGATTGAAGCAGATGATCCAGCCGAGGTTCCAGCATATCGCAAAACCTTCGATGACAACCAGCCTGTTTCTCGCCATCTCGCAGACCTAGAACAGGTTCAAGTTGAAGAATCCGACGCAGATGATTGCGAAATGGTACAGAGGGGCGGCCCTAACGACTTTGACTTTGATGAGTTTGGAGGCGACGAGCTCGATGACGCTGATTTGCTCGCAATCACATCGGATCAAGCCATGCCAGAGACACGGCCTGAAGCTGAAATCAAGAATAATTGTGGTGGCCTAGGAACCAGTGGGTTTCATGCCTCTGTTCCGGTCCATGCACCATCGACAGGGAGTCGCCAGGATCAGCCTACAATTCCCAAAACATTGCCAGAGATAATCGACCTAGATGACGAGTATCCATTGGAAGAAGGACTCGAGGAAGAAGACATGATTTCGCTGCCAGAGCATTTTAATGGGGTGGTAGAGAGCTTTCAAGCTCCTCCTAGTCTTCAATTTCCTTTCAGCAACGACTCGATGTCTGGGGAAGTATATGACAGATCTCTTCAATTCTCACCTCCAAAAAAGCGACCGTTATCTGCATCGCCTGGGAAACCGGCCGATGGGTCTTCTACTGACGCAAATAGTCCGAGTAAAGCCGGCAATACTGACCTCGTTCCAGGCGCTATGTACGAGGAGGACTGGTCTTTCATTCGATCGAACAACGTTGATGATTCTAACGCGCCTCCTATATCTGATCGTGCCATTGAAAGACATAGTGCTGTCAGTGCCGGCCAGGTTATAAAGCGCATAATACCTCTAGGACCCCAAAAACGGCGACTTCCATCAACCCCTACCAAGACTCAACAAGCTACTCAAAAATCCATTCTTGGCTTAACCATAGATGACAGCCGCGACTTCGAACCTCTCAAACCATTTGCTCGACCAGCTTTTCCTGATACGGTGGCTGACCGTTGTCCAATCACGGGCGTTTCGCCTCAATCCATCCTTCGGGTTTGCTTTCGAGTTGGTGAAATGTTCAAGGAAGGCGCTAGGTGCGATTCTCTTAAGCAGGACGTTGTCATTGAGCTATTCGCAAAAGTCACTTTCTCATCTCGTGAGCAAGGTACCACGAAGCAGCACTTCCAATTTGCGGACCTTTGGCATGACCGACCTCCTTTTCCTAACGGGATCCTGCCCAACTACAAGGGTACTGAGTTGGCCGAAAGTGAGAGCAGGGTTTTCGTCGATGCTGGGAAGCATATGATGGCAAGATGCATCGGAAGGTTGAAGAGGGACAAGAAAATGGTCACCGGTTGGCTGCTGGACATTATTAATATCCGGCCGACTGACTGGGAGGAGATCAAGTGGACGAAGAGAATTGTAAGTGCGGGTCTTGTAAAGTCCGAAAAGATGGGTGTATAAGGTCAGTGAAGGGAGGGTGCGACGGAGAGAGATGGTGTGCTATCTTTGCTATCATATCTTGCCAGCCATCCATTTGGCTGAACTGAAATGTAGCACAACTAACCTCAAAGCTACCACCTTTATCTTAGACAGCTTTTTGCAGATATTAAACATACCTGGCTAGCGTATATCAAATGGAAAAAAATCTCTTAGCCAAGTAACCCAAGTCCAATCTTCTACAACGCCTGTTGTATTCAGCGAATTACCCCTTCCTGCCAACCATATTCTCGCCTTGATGCGGATGAGGCCGATGTGTCTTGGGGATCGCCTCAATAATAAACATCACCGTCAACCAAGGTGTAGAAGCTTCGACTTTCTGTTCGCATCTGTGATGAATCTCCCAAATATTTGCCATGTGTTTGGGAACCCGAGGAGCAGCTATTGGCTATTACATCTCCGCTTGGAAACAGTAACTGCTGTGATATGTGAATCGTCAACCTTATTCATGCGTCCCCATTAGGTCATTGGCAGCTTGAGCCCTATGCCAAAGCTTGACATATCTCTAGGCTCAGCTCCCTCACTCGTCTCAAACTCCTTCGCAGCCCACTCCATCCTCGCTTTCCACATCCCCTCACCAGGCAACATGTCCACCAGCGTCCAGAACTGGCCTCTCGTCATCTGGGGGAGCCACCACACCTTATCCAAGATGCGGAGCAGCATGAAGAAATACCCCACGATGGTGAGGGTCCTCGGGTCCTTGGCCTCGAGCAGCTCCACGAACTTCGGCGAGACTTTGGTGGTGAACTTGAAGACGTACTCGCTCCGAGGGTTGTGGTACATGCATGTGAGCCACAAGACGCTGAGGTCGTAGGCGTGCAATGCTTCTGGGTCTGTGGTCTCCCGGTCCAGGTCTTGGAGGAGGAAGTCAAATACGGGGACCTTGTCGTGGTCGAGTTTTGGCGGGATTTGGTTAGTGCGTTCGTGCTCGAGCAGGGTCTTGAATTCCCCGTGGCTGAGATGGTTCCAGGAGGCGGTCGCTACCGCCCTGACGCCCTGCCATGGTTTGAACCAGCTACATAGACGACCGAGTGATCAGCAAACCGTACAAGAGGAATTTGGAGTGATACGGCGTAGGCAGTTACTACTCAGCAGTGATATTCCGGTGATGGACGAGGATGTAAAGAAAGTAAGGCTTTTCTTTTGATCACTCACTGTAGAGGGAGCCGAGCGTCTTCATTGGAAGATATATACTGCTCACTGCTGATGGTGGTAAACGCGATGAGGCAGGCAGTAGCGAAAGCCGTTTCCCCGTTGCTATCACCGATTCCCCTGTTGAGATCTGCTACGTGAGCTGATATTGCTCTTGTCATGTACGCGTGTGAGGCCTGAGAGAGTTTCCTATTCGTCGAGTCCAGGTTTCGAAGGCTGAAGGCTGAGAAGCCGAGGAGAGCATCCATGAGGTGCTCATTGGTGAGTGAAAGCCGGACAACCCAGTCGACATAGATGTTCCTTTTTGATGCCAGTTGATCTGTGGCCTGCCCGACTAAGCCTGTACCGATGAGTCTGAAATAAGTTTGTTCGCTCATGCTGACGAAGTGATGCATCAACCTATGCTCAAGGAGTCGATCAAAAGGCGTGTCCATGTGCGCTGGTAGCGAGAATCCATTTTGGGCTATCGAAATCTCCTCAGAGTGTTTGGACTGATTACCACGGGATGAGGTGACTTCCACTCTTCTAAGCAGCGTTGCGGTCGAGGGCGAGGACGGGGTTGACGTTGGCCCTGGCAAACAATGCAAAGAATTATGGAGTCTACGCTGCGGCGGTATCCTCACTGGCGGTATCCGCACCGGAGGTAGAGCCACCGGGAACCGCTTCTCTCTGGAGGGAGTGAAGTCGCATTCGAAGTTGTGTCTCTCGCAATTCAGACCTGGATCATGTATTAACATCAATTTAAACCCAGCTGATATTCAGATACGCTTTCCGTGGCAACTTACATGTTGGATGGGTTTCGTCACACTGCCGCCTGTCAGCAACTTACGGACTTCATCCCAACATCAAATGGATTGAAATGGTTAGGACGAACCTTTATTCGCCGTACTGAGATGAGATTCGTTAGCAGTCGACGACCGACCACCTCTGTGTGTGTGTATATATATATATCTAGGTATACAGGATTCTGGGCTGAGACTGACCTTTACATCGCTTGCATCCAAGCCGGGATTTTCGATGATGCCTGCGGCTCGCCATAACGATCCAGCACGATTCCAACTCAGAACGAGATGCGGCCAGCGTGACTGGCTTTCCGAGCTAGAATGAAGAAATTTAACAGATATGAAAAGATGACGGGATGAATAAAGGCTGATAGAAGAAAGCCGGAGCAAGTGTATCTTCCCAAATCATCGTCCTACCGATACTCAATCGGGTCGGCATGGAGTAACCACTGTCCGAAGCTGCCAGCCGAGGTGGAATCTTTCAAGTTTCCTGTTGTCTACGAAGATGAAGAACGTGCACAAGGATGAATTTCAGCAAGCAAGCAGCAAGAAAACCATCCAAATTTGGGCATATCACCAGGTAGTACAGGAAGTAAGTAGTAGTTCTCATTCATTAGAGATACCACCTTTGGACGACGCAATATACTAAATATATTCGTGATGGGTGTTCATTTTGGAGGTTGTGCTACCGTTGCCCAGATGCGATAACATATCGGACGATCGCGTCTTCCTTTAACGCGTCCCGCTTTGGCTTTTCGAACATCACCAGAAGCCAACGACGACAACACAACAGCATTGCAAAAAGACCACACCTACAATGTCGAACAGAAGACTTGTTAACAGGGCTCGTGCCAACGAACCTGCTTCTCACGCCTCTTCTCACCGCCAACCTCGAGCCTCTGAGACACCTGCTCGCCAGCAGCAGGCGCGTCAACTAGAGCTGCCTCCCTACGAACCCCCGGCTTGCCCTTTGTCTGCAGATGCCCAGCAGAAGCTGCGCGATCTGCAGAATCCTCATGTCTATGCGAAATACAAGTCTCATATTGTGGGCGCCATCAAGGTTCTGACCAACGCCACAGCAGACGTCAACGATAGATATGCTGTCCGAAAACGGGCACTTGAGATAAATAAGGGCAAACGCCAACGTGATGGGGTGCCCGACGAGAACAGAACAGAAGACGAGAAATCGAATGCGATGTGGACCAAGCAGCTAGGCAAGAAGGCCCCGGAGGAAACGGAAAGGGCCGAGGCAGCCGTAAGGGAATTGATTGACTATGGGGATGAATTGGCGATGCAGGAAGGCATTGTCAAAGACGTGAGCATGAAGATTGCATCCGCAGCTGTCCCTCGGCCTGTGGCTTCTCGGATACCTAGGCCTCCTGTTGGGGGCCATGATGAGAACGAGGACGAAGAGGATGAACCCGAGCGTGAAATCCGGGCTGAGGAGGTTGAGAATGTGAGTGCAGTTGAATTGCTCCGGAAGGCAAAGGAAGACTATGCAAATAATTACAACTCAAAAAGCAAGACGTCAAGGTACGCGTCTTTCTTCAAGATCTACTTGGCAAACCACTAATGTCACTCTCAAGATACGCCAGCCACAATGAATACATAGGTTTCAAGGCTTCTGTACACGATGCCCAGACCCAAGACTCCGGAGCTCCTGCTCCTCCCGCGAGCACTTGGTTTCCAGACGAGGCTCCAGCTTCCGGCGCTGGGTCTCGGAGACGTCGTAACAATCTCACGGACAATACAGATAACGGCGATGAGAGTGATGACGACGTCGTTATTGCCAGTGCCTCGGAAATCCTAAAGTGCCCTCTCACTCTCAGATACTTCGAAGAGCCTTACAGCAACAAGAAATGCAAGCACACTTTTGAGAAGCAGCCCATCCTCGAATATCACCGCAATAATGCCATCCAGTTCAGAGGAACCGAGAAGATTGTCAAGTGCCCTCAGACAGGCTGCGACGTGGTAAATTATCACTCAAACGAGCACGCGAATGGGGAGACACTTGGCTAATGTTTTCTAGATGCTTGCGTTGAGCGACTTCAGAGATGACCCAGCCATTATGAGGAAAGTGCAACGAGCGCAGCGGAGAGAACTCGCCGACGCTCAAGATGATGACGATGGTGGACCCCGTGGGACGCAATCCAATCGTCCGGAGCAAATCGACGACGACGAAGATGATGATGATGGTGCTGTCGACATCGACGAGGAAGACTAGAGGGAGAAGGTGGCAAGAATCAAGCGCGAGCGTGCGAGAAGTCGTGATTGAGTACGGCTCCTAGTCAGAGTCAAAGAGGAGGGGCCGGTTACGATCCTGATGAGTAAATGGCGATCTTGGATTAGGGTCAGGTTAGATGGCATTGAATAGCCAGTGATCGAAAAGTATGATCGCTTTCACAGCTCGGCTACGGAAACTGAACCTTGGTCTTCGGTCGCCTCTCAAGGACGCTCGTAAAATGCGTCAATTACACGCACGATACGATTTGACTTCATGTTACGAATTGAGATAGATCAGACCCGAGTCTACCTCGCATCTTCTCAGAGATCAATCAATAAATCTGAATGAGCAAGAAAATGAGTTTTCAAGTATTGTCTGTCTGTCTGTCTGTCTGTCTGTTTCTCTGTCTACCTACACCACGTCCCTCCCTGACTGACATGAAATCGCGTTTTTAGGAAACGAATGAGAGGGATACATACCCTATTGCGGTATCCGATCCGATCCGATCTTCAGCAAGCGGAGAAGTAAACGGACAAGCAAACGGAGGACGACTGGGTGAGATGGGCGACTCTTCTCCTCTCCTTCTTTCCTGCTCAGAATCAAAAGTCTTCCTCCTCCTGCTTTCGCAACCATAGCCGCACCCGCGACCGCAACCGCATAAAATAGAGACGCGCAGGAGAGAGTGCGAGGAGCCCGCGGAGCCCGCCCGCTGTGCTTGCCTCTTCTCCTTCTCCTTCTCCTTTACCTTTACCGTTACCGTTACCGGTACCTAAGCCAAACTGAGTTCCTCCGGTCCCCTGTCAAGATAGGTAGGTAGGTAGGTAGGTATGCATCCCATCCTATCCTCCTCATTTATTAATTTCCGACGTTGGAACTTTCACCGGGGGAAAACAAAGAGGGGGGTGGTGGTGGTGGTGATGGGAACTATCGCCCAAGTTAAAGCCGATTGATTGATCTCAACCTGAGCAAGGCAAGGCAAGGCAAGCAAACTAATTGTCTCTTCCTTCTCATAGATAAATCCATTTACTCCGTTCCTTTGCCCAACAAGAGAAAAAAAAATCAATATTTAATAAAAATATTTAATAAAAAATATAAACAATTTTTTTATTTTAAATATGTATATATATAAAAAGGGAGCAGACCTTAAAAGATTCGCCTTCTTCAACCACGTGAATTCTTCTTGGTAAATACCTGTATCGTTATTTACCGCCGAAAGTCCCCCGGAATTAGAGTTGCCAGACTAGATAAATTAGCTTTCGGCTAGAGCCGGCTGCAGCAAAACTTGACATCACAAGAACGGTCACGTCGGTGGCAAGATAATCACCCCAAGCGAAACACCATTCATTCATTTTCTTGACCCCCTTCTCCACCTCAGGGGCGGATTGAAAAAAATAAATAAAAAAATCGCCCTGAAAAGAGATTTCAGGCAGACAGGAAAAAATGGCGTCTGAGAAGGAACTAGAGGCGCTCTCCCGCCCCGAGTGTACGCACCTGTCAATCTAAATTTCCATCCCTTCAACCTTTACTTGTGATGAAAAATACGTGCTGATTTCTGCCGAGAAGTCTGGGATTTGCGCTACGCGGCCGAGAAGGGAGAGACAGACGAGGGTGCGGATATGAAGTCTTTCGAGTGGTTCCGCGATTTCGGGAAGCTGAAGAGCTTCTTTGAGACGTGGTTGCCGGCTCCGGGTGGGTCGGAGGTGCTGCTGCATCTGGGGTGTGGAAATTCTGTTTGTTGATCCCGTTTCTTTCCGACAGTCCCGTCTTCCCTTGGTTCGTGTGGATAGTGAGTGTGAACTCAACTGATTGGGTCCAGACCTTGACACATGACCTCTACCGAGAAGGGTACCAGCATCAGATCTGTGTGGACTTCTCGCAAGTAGTGATAAATGCGATGAAGGCCAAGTACGCCGAGTTAGGGCAGCTATGGCTTGTTATGGATGTGCGAAAGTTGGAGCTTGCGGACGACACTATAGATGTGGCGATTGATAAGGGGACTCTGGACGCTTTCATCCATGGAAGTCTATGGGATCCGCCGCAGGACGTGAGGACTAACGTCGGGGCTTATGTTGACGAGGTATGCATCTCTACCATCCCAAGGGTATCTTTGAGCTGGATGGAAAGTGGCTCGAAGGAGAGGGGCCCGGTGCTGATTGTGGTGTAGGTTGCGAGAGTCTTGAAGCCGGGTGGGAAATGGTTGTATATCACTTACCGACAGCCCCATTTCATGAAACCGTTGCTGGAGAGAGCGGGTAAGTGGAAGCTGGAGGTCCATGTCATTGAAGATCCCGACGGGGCTGGAGGCTTCGAATACTTCTCATTTATCATGACCAAACATGAACACCACACGTTCTGACCCTGGCAAACCGTATTCAAGAGAGAAATACATACCCAGTTCTGCACAATCTGACACCGTGAGTGAAAACATTGCTAGAGAATGGAGTCTTCAGGGTATCTATCTATAATCCGGCTTCTAGTTGAGCAACACTTACTTCTTAATGCCAATGACCCAAGTCATGTACCCGGTAGGCCAGGTATGCTGCTCCTGCCCATTCTTGACAGTCCAGCCATCACATGAAGCTCCACACTGCTTCATCAACGCTTGTACCTCTTCAGCGCTCCTTGTGCGTAACGAAGAGACGTAGCCATCGAAGACAAGAACAAACGGAATAATTGGTATAATGTATGTGAAAAAAAGATGACCTGGTGAGCGCCAAAAGTAGAATGGGGTAATGCCGAACATCAACGGTCCCATAGCAAAGACGGTGAGTAGGGAAAAGAAGGTCCTCTCTTGAAGCTCAAAAATACTGCGGAGTTTTCTTAGCATGTCCCACTTCAAAGCTTTGGAGCAGTCTTTTACCCAAACCCATCAGCAGTCTCGATTGTGTTCTTCAATATATCCATCCCGAGCTTGTCCTCAAAGTGGTGGAATGCAAGGTTGTACAGGCGGAAGATTTTCCTCCCATCCGCCCCATTGAGACTTGAAGGTGCATTGGCAGCATCTACCGGATCAGATACAAAGCTCAGGTTCTCACTACGCTTTGAAGCATCCGTCCAGTCTGGTATGTGAGGATGTAAATCCGTCAAGATGAATTGCACTTCTCCTCTCGTAGGTGCCAGAGTTTTTGACAGCCGCGTGTTCGATACCGCTTTGGAGCCGTTGGCAGAGGTTTTATTGGGCGAAGCGGGTGTGTGTGGGCTCAACTGAGCGTTCAGGTCCTTCTCGATGAAGGGTGTAGGGCCTCCTGCGCCGGCGCAAAAGTCGACGTAGGTATAATTCGTAACATCGTCAGCGAGCGTTCGGTAGAGGGTGCTGGCGACAAGCTGGGCTGGCGAAGCTTTCTGCAAGAAAGGGACTCGGAAGGTCCAGCAGAGGGTGAGGCAGGATTGGACCTTTTCCCGGAGGTATTGAGGGAACCTGGTGTTGTTGAGTTCGTAAGTAGAGCTTTGGAAATGGCTTGAGGGGCTTTAGGTTTGGGTATAGATACCAGGTTTGGTCGTTGATCTCGTAGAAATGAATGCGGGGGCAAAGGAGAACCATCGTGCCTTCGAATGGAAATCAATTGAGGATATCAACATTTACACAGTAGAAGTTGCTCCGGGGGGGGATGATGCTCCAGATCCAGTCATCATGTCACGTGTCGAGAGGATGCCTTCCTTGACGAGTCACGACCCCAATGGAAACACTCCCTGATCCTGATCTGATCCTGATCCTGATCCTGATGCTTACATCATGATCAAGAAATGCATTCGTCAACCCTTTCAGTCTTGTCGATGTTCATTTGTTCTGCCGTGTATTTTCTGTTTCGAAATCCTGCAATCAAACGCAATGGGCGAACGTTGAGGTAAGTAAGCTTTGAACTTAATTCACCATGCACTCTACTTGACGACGAGCGTTTATTGCTTCTTTAATTGTATCTCGCCCTCGGAATCAGATATGATGCTCTCAAGAGAGTGCTGACAACCACGTGAAGACGTCCTCCCAACACCCTACCACTTGTTGGAAACGGTATCCTGTTTTTACAGGCGCGCCATAAGCTATTTTCCTGGTTCGTAAAATGCGAGCGGCAATTCGGATTCGAAACGTTCCAAATAGCAGTCCCATCTCTACCTCCGGGAGTGGTGATCAACGATCCGAAGAATCTCGAGTATGTTTTCAAGAACGAGGGGATATTCGCCAAAGGGAACTTCTTCAAAAGACGGTCATGGGATCTCTTTGGTACCTTGGCTTGCCTTGTTCCAAAGGCTCAGTACTTACAAGCGGCAGGAAATGGCATCATCAATGCGGACGGTGAGCTTTGGAGAGTCCAGCGAAAAGCCGGTCTCCATTTTCTGAACAACGCCAATTTGAAAGTCTTGACGGATATAGCTCTTCCGGCCTACCTCAAAGAGACGGTGAAAAGCCTTAAAGATGTTGGAAGTGGAAGCACGATCGATTTGGAGGAAGTTCTTCACGAACTAACCACGCAAATTATGGGCAAAATGGCGTACGATGTATGCCGGTCTTTTCTTTCACTGCTCAGTCATCAACTTCATGCGAAGACTTGCAGCTGAATGTTTCACAGATGGATATTCATAACTCGGATTCCTTCTCCCAGGCCTTTGACTATGCCTCAGGCGCCACTGGTGAGCGCTTCCAAAACCCACTATGGCAGATGACAGAAATTTTCCTTGGAGCAGAGTTCAGGAAATCTGTCTATAGAGTCAAAGAATTTGGTTCCAGGATTGTTGCCAATGCTATCCGAACCAGAAAGAGCAAAGAAAACGAGGTCGAAACCGAGAAAGGTCATTTGGCCTTGGCATCTATGTCTGGAAGCTTGATCAATTCTTTACTGGATTCGATCGATGACCAAGACATGGTTGCGGATGCTGCCCTGAACTATCTCTCCGCTGGTAAGCTTGATCTGGAACTAAACATTCTGATAGTTGACTGTTCGTAGGGAGAGATACGACGGCCCAAGCACTGACGTGGACTTTCTATCTTCTCATGCGAAATCCCACGAAAGCCGAGACGATCAGACGCGAGGTTATGCAGCTGATTGAGATTTACGTTTCGAAAGAGCCAGATACACCCAGTTGCATTGACCAAGATATTGACACCAACATTTTTCGACCAACATCCCTCCCGTATGTCACCGCTACATTTTACGAGGCGTTGAGGTTGTACCCCCCTGTGCCGTTCGAACTCAAGCAATGCGAGAAAAATACGACACTCCCAGACGGCACCTTTCTACCAAAGTCGTCCATTCTGCTGTGGTGTAATTGGGCTATGAATAGATCTAAGCTGATCTGGGGTGAAGATTCCGAAGAGTTCAAACCCGAAAGATGGTTGGTAGACGGGGTTCTAGTATCAAAAACCGCGTTCGAATACCCTGTTTTCAACGGCGGTCCACGCACATGCTTGGGGAAATCGATGGCGGTTGCGGTTGCTGTACAGGTGATTGCTACTCTGCAAATCAAGTTAGACATCGAGCTCGCCGAAGACAGGGAGAGGATCAGCAAGAATAGCCTCACGCTGCCAATGGAAGGAGGTCTTCCTTGCCGCGTGAGGTCGCGAAACCAAGCTGTTTCGGGATGATGTTTACTGGTCATTGAATGATCACGCGAAGGATAGCATTGAATATTGTACGAAGCTATAGGTCACTGGTTACTAACCTCCATCACCGGACTGCATGTCCTTCTGCCTGGGAGGGGGAGGGGCGGGATAGTGATAGATAAAAAGAGAGTGCTTAGCGAAATGCACTCACTCACTACATGAGGTTCTGGCCATGGACAGCGAGACAGAGAGAAAAGGGAGGAGTACAGGGACAGACAATTGCTCGACACAGATGTCGCATGGTCGAGTGGCGGATTTGGGATCTCATGACAGAGGGGGTTTGATTGAGGTGGGTGGGTGTGCCATTATGCTGGCTGGCTGGCCGGCTGGCGAGAAGAGGAGGTATAGCTGGCAGCTGGGGGCGGGGACCAGGGGCAAAAAGAAAGCAAAACGAACGGCCTGTCTTTAAGTCTGTCTTGCAAAAGATAGATAGACCGATAAAGCAGAGCCGTTGGATCCTGGAGTTTGCCTTTTGGAAGAGGAATATAACTTTGAAACTTCTCGAATCGACACGGAAAAAAGCTCTCCGGCTTCTGGAGGATCTCTTGTCTGATATTCGAGAGACATTGTAATAATACAATACAGGACGAGATATACGCCATTCGGCGGACTTAGATGCTAGCGATACCAAGCCCATCCCGCACCCGTACAGAGTATGCACCGACGCTTGCCTCCTCCATTCCCAACGCCTCGAGGGGAGAAAAACGCAACCAAATCAAAAATGCTCATTCCGCAAGCTACTCGGCTTATGCTTCAAACCTGAAATCCCCCATTCGCCACCTCTAGCCTGGCCTAACCTACTAAGCGTTGAGTATGGCTTCCCTAAGCCACCATCCGGTGTATACGCCTCCCCATCAGGCTGATCCTTTCCATCCCAATGATCCGGAATGTGCTTCTCTACCAACCCTGCCGCTTTACTCTTGGCTTCCATCTCTCTCAGCCGTTCAAGGGCATCTTTCAAGGCTTCCCAGCTTTCAAACTGTCCGTCAGCTGCACTGATTTCGCAGTCGCAGTCGCAGCCGCCTGGGCACATTGTGTCTCCTGATGCGTGATAGTCGGATAGACAGTCCACGTGAGTCGCACAGCCGCAAGACAGGCAAGGCGCGAAGACGGCACTGATGGGCTCCAAGCAGATCGTGCAGCGGAGTTGGCGCTGGGTAATCTTGCACCTCTCACAGTGTCCAACAGCACCTCCAAACTTGGTACCTGCCAGGGGCTCGAGGCGGGTCTCATGCTTGAGGCAGTAGCCTGTCACGTCAAGTCCGAATCCTGCATTTAGTAAAGGCGACATCTGTTGATACTGGTCTATCTTGCCAAGGATAATTGGTGATGGCGGCGGAGAATCCTGGTTTAAGGCTTGAGCGTCGATGGAGTGTATGGATGGAGCGAGGGGTTTGTTATGTGGCATTTCTGTTTCGGTAAAGTAATCCTTTAGGCCATTGAATTTCAGAATCTCAAGACGTGCTAGTGGATGACCCCATATGTAAAGGAGCTCGGCATAAACCTTTCGGTAATCTGCATATAAGACTGTTTGACGAGTGTCCAACAAAGGGGTGCTCATACAACCCTCGTCATCAAAAACGTTCTGATTCCCCATGGTGAGACTGATCCCAGTACAGATGGGGGATTTGCAATCAATCTTGTTGCTCTCTTCATCGGAGTAAGTTGATCTATCAGTAATGCTCTGTTCTTTCACGCTCCCAAGAACAGTGGTGTTGCCCCATGTAATGGCACTAGGTGCCAGAGAACTCAACATATTTTCAACCGGGCTTGGACGTTTCCGGCTTGGGGGATACGGAGGCGATGACGGAGCAGTCGTGGAGAATGGGCGAGAAAAGCTTGCAGCAAAACTATGAGCAATCCCCGAGTTGGATCTACGAAAGCTCCGAGGGTTCTCGGGTGATGTCGACAAGCTTTGAGTCTGCTGTTGATTGAGATACTCCAAGCTTGCTCGGTTGGAACGTAAAGGAGGCGTCTCCCCACATGAGTATGGTGTCAACGCAGGGTCACTTCCCCAAGCTCCGATCGAGGACCCGACAGATCCATAAAGACCAGAAGGAGTGTGAGCCACCCTGGGCGTCGATACGAGAGAGGTGATCGGGGTCTTCTGATACATGCTCCATGCTGCCGTATCGGATGGGAAGTAGTCGAGAGAGAATGCTGGAGTTTTCATAGATAATGGTGTACGAGGCTGTGACAGTTGCGTCTCTGCGTGCGAAGCTGCGTCCCTCGCGAGAGGTTCGCTAAAAACACATGATAGCATGGCTAGCATCTGGACGTCTGCAAGGCGCTCAAAATATGCAAACAGATTACCGATCAAATCTCGAGCAATTGGATTGGTGCCCCATTTGACTCTGCCCGATAGCCTGTCTTCCCGAGTGCTGCAATCATGAGATACGTCCACGCCACTATCGGAGCCGCTGCTTCGACGTTTACTCATGACGGCCTCTGTCTTTTTTCTGACAGCCTCCTTCGCAATAACAAGTATCGGTTCATTTCTATGAGTCTGTTTCAGGACCTCAAGAGGCACCTCATTATGTAATAAGATAGCAGCATATCTCCAGATATCTGCTAGCTCCTTGTATCCTTGTTTCTGGGCAGCCTTCGCGTTATGTTCGCAGACATCTGGTCCATCGCCAAATATGGCATAAGTCTTAGCGAGCGCGGGCTTAGACGGCAGTAAACAGCTGATGTCGTGTAGGGAGAGAAGGTTTTTGGGTTTCGAGGATCTGACTCGTCCGAGTCCTGTACCAGTGCCGGTGCCAGTTCCTGTTCCACCGGCACTGGATCTCTGTGAGAGTACGGTTGGGGAGCCTTTTCTGAATTGTCTCCGACCAGTGCGGCGGAAATAGTCCGACATTGGGAAGCGAGCAATGCGGAAGTGAGAGGAATCAGAATCGCTTGATGAAGACTCACCAGAGTCGTCAGATACTTCCGAATCCGTCTTGCTCTCCGAAGCAAGGGACATGGCTTTGATTCGGGGGATAGGTGAGGTATTGTTGTTCAGACGACCAAACGTCTCGAACACAGGATCTCCTTTGGATCTTGCATTGTTCTTGACCACCAGAGTCTCGAGAAGTGACTTTACTTTCTCTTCTTTTGGAGGGAAGAAGCACGTAAGTTTCCCATTCGCAGAGAATCGGGCTCCGCATAGTCGCGGGAGAGGTACGTTTGCATTGGAATACCTTGTTGGGGGCCGTAATCCTGTCACGGTCTGGCCAATTTCCTGAGATGCGATCATTGGTGGGTCATCGCCTTCGTCGTCCTCGCTGGAGCTTTCATCAGCTAATGCATCCATATCATCATCCAGATCTCCAAAATCTTTGAAGAAAGTCGTGCTCGTCTCAAGATCGACCTCTCCCAGCAAGTAGCAAAGAACTGCATCCAAGCAGCCTTCTTTCCGAGGAACAAAACTAGCGGCGATCAGATGAACCTCTCGTTTTAATTTTGCATACGTATCATTCGGCATAAGGGACGTCTTGCCTAGGGTGAAGCTGGGAGCCTTCGATTCGGGATACTGCGCAGGAAAGACGATGGTAATCTTGATGTAAATGGCATTCCCGTCGTGGCCCCAAGGCCCATTCATCGAGGCAACCACTGTTCTGTTGTCCATATTGACATCTTCGAATGTGATTTTAGGAAGTTGGTCGTGAATGCGGATGATTTCATCATGCAGAGACTCTGGCTGCCCCCAATCACCATCCTCATCGAATTCTGGATCAAGAAGAGAAAGCCGTCTTGATGTTGGACGCTTAAGAGAAGTACTGTCGACCTTGGCTGCAAACTTGATGCCACTCATCCAACCAATCTGCTTCTGGTTTTGATCATCTTGTTTGCATGACTTCTCTCTGCCCTTCATAGCCGATGCTCGTAGGATCATATGTGTTCGAGCAGGATGGGGCACATTCACTTTCTTCATGCCCGTACTCAAGGCACTGATTTTGAGACCAGAGCTTCCTGGCCGAGGACCGGTGATTGTTGCAGCTCGCTTTTCTGTCGAAGTGGTCTCTACTGTTCGGAAAGTCTTATAGACGGCACCTTTACGAGTGACATTCAGCTTCTTCCTCACTTGAGCACCCTTGATATACCCTACAGCCTGAAGGCTTGCAGGGTCTACGTGCTGCAGCCGTAACTGATTATCTTCGCCCCATGATACCAGCTGGAATTCTCTGTTGTCGATTCCATCATCAATGTTCCCTCGACTTCTCCACAGGAATTCCTTGACTTTGAAGGCCCCATGTCCGGGAAACTTGGTCACTGCATGAGCGTAGGAATCCTTGTCCCCTCCACTCAGCCGGCAGTCATAGAGATGGAGGTTGCCCGGAGTATCTTGGGGCATCGCTAACACGCCCCATCCAAATGGAGTGTGTCGAGCTCGCCAAACAGGGAAATCTGTACGGATAATGCGTTCTGGCTCGTCAATATCGTTACCATAGTCCCAGAATTTGATGCTTCTATCCAAAGAACATGTTACTATCCCGGTAGATCTTGTCCGATTCCAATCCACTCCATAGATCTTTGATTCGTGCGCATTGATGGACCTCAGAGGGGCAGCCCCCTTTCGATCATCCCATATTCGCAGCCACCTATCATGAGATGAAGCAAGGATGTGTGAGTCCTGTCGATTGTATTTGACTTGTGTTGCTCCAGCGAACCAATCACAGAAAGTCAAAACTGGTTGTTTCGGCCGGCGCAAGTCCCAACAGTGTACGTAGCCATCTACAGCACATGTTGCAAGTATGTCAGGGTGGTGGGCTGAAAAATTGATGTCCGTAATTGCTCTTGTGTGTCCATACAGTGTATGTTCAATTGCCCCTTGCGACGATTCTTCTGGCATATTCAGATTCCATACCAAGGCCTTCTGATTTGCCGTACTGACTACCCAGTTCTCTCGAGCGGCAAAAGGGGACCATTGCACATCTGCAACGAGCCACGGGAGACCGTGTCGAAGATGGCGAGGTGGGTTCAATGGGTGATCAAGGTCAATTATATCAAGCCCGTCGGTACTGCACTTTATCGTCAGGCCAACCTCTAGATAAGGAAATATATAAGGATGTATATGAGTATATATATATATATATATATATATATATATATATACACATATCCATAAACGGACTCACGATGCAAGTGCGACATCGCGTCCGGACGGCGAGATTGTCGCGGATCCAACCTTGCGCTCGACATGGATCGACACATCTGCGTCGAAGGTGGTGCTGTCGAAAGCAGACCTGATCACCTTCCCTTTCCTCGGCTCATCCATCATAGCGGTCGAGGATGTGTCGCTGCATCTTCGAGCCGTGATCCGCAGCAGGAAGTGATGTTTGTATGGTACGGATTCGAATGCGCGGTTCCGCGATGCATGGTACAGGAGAAGTCCTAGGTACGGTACCGGTGGTGGGACGGAGTACGTAGAAGTTGGGTTTCGCTAAATAGGAACGGGCCGACCTGAGACCGTCGCCGCCTCCAAAGTCGGATGCCAGGGCAAGGCTTGAGCTGAGGAGTAGGTAGGTACCGGTACCTAGTCAACGTTCACAATACACGCACGTATCCCATCAACTTGACAAGATCACCCACCACCTTCAAGGGCAACGGAGCAACGATCAACGATCGACAATCAAAGACCAAAGATCAAAGACCGGTGAATCAATCCACCCGTATTCCGTCACAACATCGATCTGTGAGCCTCAATCTTGCAATAACCTCTCGAGCGTTGCCCCGCCCCCACCAAGCCCCAACTTCCTCCATCGGTTTGACGCTCTCAACTCCGAGATTCTACGTATCGAGGCTGCAGTACCTTTGGGAATTCATCGGCATCTGCCTGGCCTTACTTCACAAACAAACTCCCCAAGGCTTCCCCTCGACACGATGGCTGCTTTGCCCAAACGGATTATCAAGGAGACTGAGAGACTGATGGCAGAGCCGTATGTCTCCATACCCCCAGAACTTATGATATTATACTGACATTTCATCTGCATAGTGTCCCAGGTATCAGCGCAGTTCCCCATGAAGACAACCTCCGATACTTCGATGTTTCGATACATGGTCCTTCCCAGTCCCCATACGAAGGTCAGATATGCTTTGAGGATCAATAGAAACCGTCGATTCTGACTTTCAATAGGCGGAATCTTCAAACTTGAGCTTTTCCTGCCAGATGACTACCCTATGTGTCCACCAAAGATTCGGTTCTTGACCAAAATCTACCACCCCAACATTGACAAGCTTGGCCGTATCTGTCTCGATGTGCTCAAGAGTAGGTCCATTCCTGTGCTCTGGCACTTCTTCACTCTATTGCATAAGACTATATGCTGACATGACCATCACAGGCAACTGGTCTCCAGCTCTCCAAATCCGAACTATCCTCCTCTCGATCCAAGCGCTCCTCGGTGCCCCGAACCCCGACGACCCATTAGCCCCAGAGGTTGCAAAGAGATGGAAGGAGGATGAGCCAGCTGCTATCGCAACTGCGAAAGAGTGGACTAGGACACATGCTATCAATTAGTGTACGCCCACTTTTCAGCTTTACGATTCACGAACGGCAAAGACAGAGTCATGGAGGCTTCGGGCGGGAATGGGAGGAGAAATCGTACTTGCGTTGAACGAAATGAAGCACTTTAAACGCTATCGATAGCAATGCGGCTGTTTTGCGTGCCATGAAACTTTCCCTACTGGCGTTGGTTGGGAATAAGATCCTTTAGAAAGGAGGTACTTCACAATACCCTATCAAACATAGGCTTGCCTGTTCCTGCACAATCTTGTCCCTTTTCGAGTCAGGACTTCTATACGGTGGGTACTTGCGTGGTCTTACCCTTCTGCTTAATTGCGGAAGGTACCAGCAAGAATATATTGCTTCTGCAATCATCGCTTCGATACCGTATCAGTACAATGTCCTTGTCAGGAATGATGGCTATTATTATGACACCGACAAGCTAATAGTGGAGAAAGTCCTGCCTCAGTTCAGTCGCGGCTCATGAATTTGAGTGTTCAGCCGCTGCCAAGGAGCTCGCTGGTTCTGCAATCTTCATGTCAAAAAGACGTTATGCCTCCGAGGCTCAGCAGGATCGTGTGGTTTACCATCGAGCTCTGAGGAAAAGCGATTGAGTCCTCGTCTCCGAAGAACCAGTACGTTCCACCTCTACCACTGCACGGGTAGGGTACCAACTACCTCTCCATCCATTTCTAAGGCTCATTCATGATTTGCACAATTCACTCATAGGAACAGCCGGTCCTGCGAGTTTTTACGTCCTTTAATCGTGCTTCGTCACGGGGTACGAAAATTTTGAGGATTCGAGAAACACTTCGGCGCCCGAGACTGCTAATGTTCTTTAGAGGCTCGCGACATTAGACCGAATGGATTCTATGTGGTGGCAACAATATAAACGCCCCCTTGAGAGGCTTACCCTCCAAACAGGGTGTGGAGGGCGAAGCTTTTACAAGTGGAAGTTTACGATCACCACGATCACCACGATCACCACGATCACCACGATCACCACCATTACTACTGCTGCTGCTGCTGCTGCTGCTGCTGCTGCTGCTACTAGATCTCGATCTTCAGCAAGTGACCGCATGTAAGTGTGGCCTGCGGCTGCTACTGGGTGGTGCTTGCGGCGTTAGCCGTCTCGTCAAGCCTGGACTTTCAAAGAGACCATCTGGGTTAACCCCCCTTATTTCCTATACCTTGACTCTATGATACGAGCGTGGCCTACTCCTAATAACCTGTGGATTCTGAGGATAGGTACAGAGACATGTTAATCTCAAAGGCTTCGGGAAGCAGCTTTATTCGCGACCTTGCGAAGCGAAGTCTTTTGGCCCGATGCTAATATCAATTTCAGAAAAGGTTCATCACTCTCATAAGGGCCATCGAGATTGAAGCAAGCACTGAAAAAGCGAGACTGCTATTACGAGAAGGATGGTCTACGAACATACGGTGACGGTGAAGACCATGATCATGAATCTCCCGTACGTTGACCTAATCATACAATGAAAAGCTGAGAGTTGCTAACAAGCTATTTAGATAGCTTTAACTCACATGATGTCCTTGATCGCGATGGCTTTCCTGTGGACTGGATCTCAAATCCCTCTCTATCTCTTCAGTAAGCTCGGTGGCGCGTAAAGATAGCAACGTGACGATTTGGAAAAATTGTCCTATGCGCATGCTTATCCGCGTGTCTACTATGCCTCGATCGCTTCCGGCACTATCTCTGTCATTGCTGCATGTTTCCTGGAAGATATCTCGCCGTATATGGACGATCATGTTGCTGCTGTCATGCATTAAGTGCATACCCCGCTCTGGATGCGGCGAAGAGAAACGAAGGTGCTTTCATTAAGCCTCAGTAAGACTAAGATGCTGAAAGAGGGTATAGATTCCTGTAAGGAGCAGGACTTCGCGGCTACTGGAAGGCTCGTCCTGGTTTCCATAGATACGATGCATACGAAAATGAATTTATGAATTCAAAATACAGATCCATTTTTCACAACCCCCCTCCCCGACGCACGCTTGTTCGGGAGGCATTGCCTGCTTTGCCAGGAAGGGATAAATTAACTTTTCTCTTATTTTTAACTCTAGGTCTCCAGAACGATGGAGGCCTCCTTCAATCCTTTAAAAAAAAGAAAGAAAAAAAAAGGGGGGTGGGGGGGGCCGGGGTCCTCGTCCGTAATAAAGAAGCCAATATCAACAATACTTAGCGAAGAAGCGAACGAGCGAACGAATAAATGTCAATAAACTCGGACTCGGCAAATTGGGTAAAGAAGGGGGCTGATCTAGTCTCGCTTAATTAGCTAGACTTGGACCCCGGGATCGAAACGACTTGTACGTTATTTCACGGCCTCGGGCCATCATCACTTCAAAACCCTTCCCCCCCAAGAAAGAAACTCAAGAAAGCACCAATACGTTGCAACTACACACATACACATACACACATACCCATATCTATCAATATCACGGGGAAAGATGCCCCCCTTCCCGGATTTCGGCGACACCACCCGTTTTCCCCCCTTCCTGGCTTGCCCCCCAGCCAACAGCAGCGACAACAACAATGATACCCATAAATTACCACCTCTAGCTCCTCCTGCTACCGACGACCCAATAACAAGCAGGTATCAGGCCCTCTCCCTCTCTCAAAGCAAGAAACAGATTAACAACCAGTCTTTCATAGGAGCAACAGTGGCAGTGGCACAGCTAGTACTACTCCCTCTACCACCACCACCAGCAGCAGCAGCCCTGCAGGCACATCATCATCATCATCACCACCATCAAACTACTACCTCCTCGGCACCATCGCCGAGAACATGACCGTCTCGACATCACCAACCTTCATCCTCCACGACCGCGCCGGCACCGCCTTCGCGCTGACGCTGCGCGTGCCCCCGGCCCAGCGCCGGGACGACGTGCCCGGCGGCGGGTTCGACGCCCGGCGGTTCCGGCGGGGGGTCACGCTGGTGGTGCCCGGCGCGCGGCGGAGCGGGAGCGGGAGGGAGGGAACGGAGGGGAAGGCCGGGTTTGTGGAGGTGCCAAGTGGGGACGTGAGGGTGAGTGGGAACTGATCTCTTTTTTTTTCTAAATCTTTTTTTATCTGTCGATAGCTACTATCTTTCTATCTATCTATCTATCTATTTAATTACCCGTCCCCTGAATGCAATGCAATGAAATCCTGCGGGAGAGAGCGAGGGCGAGGGCGAGGGCGAGGGTGAAAGTGAGGGAGAGCTGGCGAGCTGACGGGGAAATGCTCGCAGATGGTCCCGACCAGCGTCGAGAAGCTGCTCGCGATGAGCGCGCAGGAGAAAGACAGGGCGGACGCCCTGGCCAGCGGGGAGGAGGAAGAAGAGAAGGAGGAGAAGGGATGGTGCCAGGGCTGTCGAGAGGTGAAAGCCGTAGCGGCTCTGGCACGGTGTAAGGGGTGTGGGAGCGTCTGGTACTGCGACAAGGTATGTAATGCTATGACATTCGATTAAACTCAGTGTATGCCCAGATATATATGTCTCCCTCCTCCCCTCCCCCCCCTCGGGACTCAGAGGCCCAGCTGGTCGGTGGTGGTTCGGTTGTTGGACGTGGTGTCGATTAGCTAACTAACTTTTTACCTGTGTTTTTTCCTACCTAGAACTGTCAGACCACAGGCTGGAGCGAGAAAGGCCACAAGAGCGACTGCAAGGTTTTCAGAGCCGTGGAGGAGATTTTTTGATTTTTTTTCTTCTCTTCTCTTTCCCTTCTCCCGACTTAGCTACCTAGCTGTCCTAAACTAATCAATTCATTCATCGCAGACCCAATTTTTCCTTCTCATATATCGCTCACCCACGAAAACATATCTATTCTATACAAAGTGCCTAGGTAACCAATAACCCCCCCTCTCCCCCCCTCTTAAAGTCATCTCAGTCATCTCAGTCACCTCAGTCACCTCAGTCACCTCAGTCATCCAATCCAATCCAATCTATCCCTCCAACACCTGATATACAATGAATGCCCTTAACACCAACACTACCATCATACTCCCTCCTCCCCTCCTCCATGAGACCACATTCTTAGCCACATCAAATACATTCGGCTCGGCTCCGGCTCCCGCTGGCTCAAGTATTACTTTGCGTGAGAAAGGTTGCAACTTGTTGGCGCCAGACAACAAACAACAAACAACGACGAGTCAGGCCCCATTCATTCATGGATGCATGCACGACCCTTTCCACCAGAGAGCCCGAGCCCGAGCCCGAGCACGAGCCCTTGGACATGATTCTACCTCCTGCAGCAGGCCAGTAATTAGTTGCCAGCTGCCCTTCATGCTCGTGGTCGTAAGTAGGTATATTACGACTACATATCTCCGAGCTGTACGGAGGCTCTATCAATTTTTTCCCGCCGTATGGTAACGAAAGTCTATACCCGATACCGGTTCGAGACCAGCCGCCACAGAGGCAGCTACTGACTCGCGAGTTTCCAGCTATCCTCTGGCACTAACGCCTGAATGTATATACACGGTGCTTCGATTTGGGCGCTGCACGCTTCTATCCCGAGCTAGCTAGACCGCAACTCCCCGTTTGCTCCACCCACCGGGGCCCTTCCAGGCCCAGATCCACACCGCACACCCGATCCAAACACTGACAGCCATCGCCCAGAACGTCGGCGCATAGCACTTCTTCCCATGACATAGCACGTCCTCTCCATCCAGCGCAAACGGCTGGGCCTTGGTTGCCGCTTCGTAGACATGGGAATATACCACCCCCCAGAACGTAGCTCCCGCTGCCGGTACCATAGCTACAATGCCCCAGTTAGTACCGAAGTTCTCGACGCCCCAGATCACGCTGATAATGAGGGGGGTGAGAGAGAAGAGGGCGCCATAGCCGATGCCGATGAGAGAGGAGATGACCCAGAAACGCTCGGCATGTTCTTGGATGAGGCCCGATGCGAGGAGCACTTGGCCGATGGAGAGGACTAGGGCGGACAGGAGGAGGAATGTCACCCGTGAGATCGAGAAGCGGGAGGTGCGAGGTGGGAGGGAGGCGAGGGAATTGGAGGCTGAGGCGTAGTGGTGGGTGGTTGATTGTGGGGCGAGCAGATCTGTAAGGGTTCCGAAGAGAATACGGGCTACTGTTGATGTGAGTGCTACGATTGAGACGTGTGTAGCTGCTGTAGTTGGGACGCGGTTTGGATCTGGGTAGGGAGGATACAGGGTTCCAATAATGGTTCCCAGGTTCGTAATGAACGCCTCGCCAGGACCTAAATCGACAGGTTAGCCTTTGAGCACAGTGATCCAGCCAGTAAGTACGTGCCAGAAACAAAGAAGAATCCCGCAGCCAGCCACCACATAGTATGGTCCTTGAGAGACCTGCTAGTCTCCTCATTCAACAGCCATGTCTTCTTGCGCGCCGCTTCCTCCTGCTGGCCCTTGACCAGATCCGCTGTCCTCATCTCCGCACCCTCCTCATTAGGACCCCTTTCAAAACTCCCATAGCCCGTCTCGGCCCCCCTAAAGAATTCACTATCCTCTAACAATCTGCTCCTCGCCAGCTCCTCAACAGCCTCATCAATCAGCTCCTCCTCGTCCACAATCTTTAAGAAGAACGTCCCTAGCAGCCCCACCGCCAGCAACGTGAGTGCCAAAAACACAAAGTACCGGAAGACATCGACGTCGCCTCTCGACCCATCCGGCCTCCTCTCATACAGGACCCTGCTGCCAATTTGGCTCTGCCACATCCCACTCAGCCCAAACGCCGCAATGGGACTCGCGAGCGCCAAACCCTTATGCCTCCCCCTCCCAAAGTTCTTCGCGCATGTCGTAACGCCGCTCAAGTACATGCATGTGGTCGCAAGCCCGATGATCACAAAGGCGGTGACCATGACCCAGAGCGGCCAACCACGCTCGGCCGTGTATCCATAGACGTCCTTCGCGCCGCTCTTGTACGCAAAGGCCGCAAGCAGATAGCCCACCGCGAACAGGATAGCAGACGCGAATGATAGCGGTGCAGGGCCGTGCCGGTCACAGAGGTATCCGAAGAGAGGAACTGGGAGGTACAGGGCGAGCTCCGCGGCGATGACTACGATGTTGACCTGTAGCTGGGTGTAGCGCAGCCGTTCCTGGAACAAGTGCCCGTAGAGCGAGTATGCAGTGATGGAGCCTGCGCAAAGACAGGAGGCAATGGCTGATGCGAAGGAGAAGTAGCGGACGAGATCTTGTTTGCGTCTTTGCTCCTTGCGGGTAACGGAGGAGAAGGAGCTCGAGGAGTGGAGGGAGTCCCGGTCGTTGGAGAGGAGTGGGGTTCGCTGCGTAGCCATGGTGCTGACGGGCTTGAGCACCGTTGCATAGAGCGGTCGCAGATTAAAGCTATCTCATCCAATCGAAGGGAAGTGGTTGGTGTCAAGATAGTTTATGTCGGTATCCTTTGAAAGTAAAGTACCTACGTAGACCATGACATCCCGACTTTTACTCAGTAAATACCACTTAACTCCGAGCCGAGTAGCGAGGTGCTAGCGCCAAATCATACCCGCCCCTCCTCCTCCTCCTCCTCCTCGAGACTTTCACACTTCGCATGACTGTTGCTCTTGCTGTATTATCAGATGACGCGCGATTGAAACTTGGACTGGAACATGGCAAGGTGTATTGGTTTCAATCTAACGTCCATTGGATACGGTGCAAAGACCAGTTTCAAAACCACTATTTGTAATGAAAGACTTTCTAACAACTATTCTGTGAAGCTTGCGGACATTCTAAGATGTATCGGTAACTTCACTGATCACTTCAAGTATGAGACGACAGAGCAGTATATCAGATGCATGTCTAAGCGTGAGAATGTATAAGTCCTCGAATACAACTTTCTCACGCTTAGATTGTGTCCAACAATGGTGATAGAAAATCCAAGCGACACCATACTCCCTTGCTCAGGATTTCCTCTTTGCCCATCCCATAATAACCCTTGATAGTCCAAGGTAAAACACCATCTCATGCTGATACCCAAGTCTATGGTCTATCCTATAATCCAGTGCGCCGATATATGCATAGTACACGCTAACACGCTTAGGTCGAAAATCCATGTTCACACGCAAGTTCCTCCCAATTGTACGTACATTAGACGCTGTCAAACCGCTCTCAGAGTCGCCACTGGTTTTACATCACATGCGGGGTAGCTAGTGGTTCCCATTGTCATTAGCCACAGGAAGCGGTGGGTGTATCGGTGTGTGCTGGGTGGGCGGGTGTCTTCTTCGCTCGCGATGAGTCGCCGGGGAACTGAATCCTCGTTCCGGGCTTGGAGGAGCAGAAATGGCATAATTGTAGTCGGGCACCACATCAGTGTAGCTTATACCCCTGACAGGCGTCCTGACCGCAGTGTCGTAGGATGGAACTCTGCTAAGATCTCCTAGATTGGTCGTTTGCTGGCCACTTCTCGTCCCTGGAGTCCCTGGGCTGGGCGTTTGCTGGCCACTTCTTATGCCCGAAGTCCCTGGATCGGGCGTTTGCTGGCCACTTCTCAAGCCTGGGGCCCGGCGGTGTTGTTCATCACTCGCTTGTGGGCCCAAGGGGTCGTCGCTATTCAGGTCGGTGTGAGGCAATTCGAATTGACTTGGCTCGTTTTCTGGATGTCGCTGCGTGGAGGGGGTGTTCGATCCGGATCCATGCAGCCGCCCAAAACTGCGGTTACGAGAGTTTGCGCTCAAGTCCAGGTTCTGCAGCCTGGAGGACAACGCTGCCGGAGCAAACGCGGCCGTCAGGCCAGCTATCCCGTCAAGAGACGCCAGGTTCTCACGCGAGCCGTTTCGAGATAAGTCGACATAGGGCGTGTTTATGGCAGTGTTTATGGCAGAACCAGGTGCTGGGGACATGATTCCAGGGGGACTCAGACCAGCATAAAGCTGATCAAGCACATGCTCTCCGTAGAGCGGTGGGGCATGCTGACCTACACCCATCGAGAGATTGGCAGCCATCGGGGTCTGGTCGATCAGCTCCCCATTCTCGTTGAGAGGCTTATTTGGAGAGATGAAAAGCGTTACAGGTAGAGTTGCACGGAGCTAGAGGTGTCAGTCAGCCTTGAAACTTCGGAACAGATCAACAGACTCACCTCTGACGTGTGCCCATCTGGGTTGTGTAGAGCAACGATGAACTTGACTTTGTGCCGAATCTTGATGCCATGAACGTTGACATCTTGCATGCATTCACTCAAGGTTTTGGGTAATTCCATCGATTCTTTGAGGGTGTAGCCATTCCGGCCCTCCTCGTCCATGGCCTCTTCGTAATGTTCGTCGGTCAACTCAAATTCCCAGTTCTTGATGTCCTTTGTAATACTGATTACTTTTTCTGAGCGAGTCGATGTTCTGGGCATGGTCACCTCGTGCGACTCGAGAAGTTGACATAGGATTTTGCCAATTACCAACCCCTTGAGAAGGGAGGTAAACCTCATGATTACCACAATCGCGGTTCCGAAAACGATCGCCTTCTGCGGTATGTTGATTTCGTACATAATCTTGTTCGCCCAGATGTTCTCTACGGTCATGGCATGGGCCAATTCCAACGCTGATGGATCCAGAGTTCGCACAATTCGGACACGTTTGTAGGCATGCCAATCGTGGGCAAACTTTCCTCGGGCGACCGTCGCCTTCAATTTGTAGGTGATGTGACTATCCGTCTGGCCCTCCACGCTCTCTGCCATGTTCCCTGGTATGACGAGTTCGAATGGCCATTCGTAGTTCCCCGATGGAAGATTTACGTTTCTGGAATTAGAGCCCCCAGTGTTTGCTACGAAGGGCGTCCATCGATGGATGAAGATATTGCTATTCTCACAGTTGCCAAAAGTCTGGTTTCCATTGTTGGGGGTATCTGTCTGTATGCGCCATCTGCGGACCGACAAATAAGCCTGGTGCAACCAGTCGCAGGGAACTAGCTACCTGGGTACCTCGACTCACCCGAGTTTCAGATCGCCAGTCATCCGCAAATGCACGTCTTGTACATTCTGTGCTTGGGGGAGACACAGAATCACCGTGCCTTTAAGCAGTTGGCTCGCGGCGTCGTCTACGCCACCACGGAGCACTATGAACTCATTTTCGAGGCTGCGAGGTATCAGTCAAAGAAGCCATTGAGCGTTAGGCAGCTTGGATAAGCAAATTGAGCATAAATACCGGATCTCAAAGAGACTTGGACCTGGGTTTCTGCCAGCAGTCACGCCAAAGAAGCTGGGCATCTTAGCGATCATCTAGCTATCTTTTTGTCTCATGCGAATCGAATGAAAAATCTGATAACGGAGGGTGGGGGGATGAAGTGAGTCGTTGTCGTTGTCAGATTACCGGTAGATTGGAGAGAGAGAGGAAGGCCGGCAGGGAAAAAAAGGCCGTGGCAAAGCATAGATAACAAGAGAGAGCCGCCAGTAGTGTAGTGGCAGCAGTAGGGTTTGCGGTGGGAGGCCAGTGGTACCGGTAGGTAGGCGATTCCGTGATTGATTGATTGAGTTCATGCAAATGCAATGCAAATGTGATGATCCCCTTGCTTCGCTCATGGTGTCCGGAGCTGAAAGCGGCCATCGCTGGAGTTGATGGATGGGTAGAGGTGGGGGTCACCGCCGGCAAACGGCCGATAGTTTCTTATGCTTCAGGATACGGTATACGTAGTGGAGCATGTTTTCGCATACCTCAACACTTTAAATTGAATGCCGCTCTACGGGGCTGCGAATTTTTATCCTACGGAATGCGTCCCGCATAACCCTTGTGATATATTGACTTTTATCTCAGCCCGAAGTAAGCCAATTCCGTGCTTACGGAAGTTGAAAAGGCTTCCGGCACTATAAATATCAATAATCATAAGCGAATAATCTAGCGAAGTATTCTCATACTACCTATTCAGCTCATGGGCTAGTTTTGCAAGCGAATAATTAAAGGTTGGTTCTGCTCGTAATAAGATTAATGTTGTGCAGTATACCGTAACCTCATGTCTCCATATGTACAGTCACTTCTGACTGCCAATGCATAGACTTTTTACTTCGCATCAGTATTCTTTGCATTTGATAGCTTAAACTATCTTCAACCATAAGCTTTAAAAGGTAAATAAAAATTACTACGTACTACGTACTACGTACAAACATTTTAGTAAAATTGAATAGCTTATAACTTAAAGACGACTTTATTTTGTACTGTATTAGGATTTAATAAAGTTTATTAAAGCAGAAATATAGAAAGTTGGCTTTCGCTTGACTTCAGAAGAAGTCTTACAAAAAGGGGCGACTTCAGCTTTATCTTTCGCATCTAGGTCTATCAAACAATTACTACGTCCCAGGCGTAAGTATTACCCCTTGAGGATACGAAACAGGAGTTTCTACCAGGGGAAATAGGATTTTCGAAAGGGTCGAAGCAGATCGGAGAAGCGTCCTATTGGATCGGGAATATACGTAGTAGCAAAAGCGTATCGAATAGGTTTAAACTCTAATTGATGGGTATTTTAACGCTGCTTTTTGCTACCTTTTTTTCCCAGCTTCATCTTCCGATCTTAACCCGATCGAGATATTTGGTTGTGGATAAAGGATTACATTGAAGAAAAATATCCTGAAGTTTATTAAAGCTATCTTCGATTAAGAATGGTTGTTCAAGAAGCGTGGAATTCGGTCAAAAAAGATAATATTATTGCATCAATCAAAACTACGTAGTATAAGACAGCGTTGTTTAGACGTAATCGCGGCGGAAGGGTGGTACATAGCCTGGTAAAATAAAAGCTTATAAAAACAGCGAGGATCTATCCTCGAGGGGTAATACTTACGCCTGTACCGTGGTATATTTAAGATTGATGGTCTCAATAACTCCTTCCCCGAAGATAGAATTGATAGACACCGGCTGATGTTGGGGGGGTTTTTTTTTTCGAAGTGTTAATTAACCCTTAGTTTTGGTGCGAAAAGTGGTTTTATGCATTGGCAGTTACCTAGTACTGTACCGTACTTATTGACAATTGCTCTCCCTCTATCTTGGATAGACTAAGACTTCCTCTTTATATAAGCAGTACTAGTAAGCAGCTAGAGTGGCACTATCAGCAAGTACAATGCTTAAAATAGAATTCCGTGATGATCATCAAGGCTTAATGGTCAGCCGGTTTGCTAAAAACGCCTTAAGAAAGTCGTAGGCTTTCGAGATGGTGCTTAGTAAAGTCTTTAGTCGAGTTTCTTTTAGCTAAGAAAAGATGCCCCGTCGTACTACGTATAAAGCGATAAAAGGCGAGGTGCTAAAGGGACTTGCGTTTGCCGCAAGCGCATCTCAAGTTAGCGTGGTGGTGCTGAAACCTTGTAAAAGAAATGTCGTGAGGGCTCGAGCTTCGGGAGGGGTTGAACTAAATAGTACGAAAGTCCTTATTTCTGGTAAAAGCTGAAGAGCTTCGTAGAGCTTGCGCTCCACTGGTCATCCCGTGCTTTGTCACGTACGTAGTACGTAGTATATCACGGTAAAGTATGCGAATGCTGTTAACATTAGGTTGCGAGGCAAGACCAGTATCTTAGTCAGGCTTCCTCGCTCTTAAGTCTGCCAGCTTATCCGCTCGCTCGTTCCCTTTGATCTCTATATGCCTAACTGACTTTGTGAATAGCTTCAGTTCGGCTTTTTTTAGAGTACGGTCGGCCCAGCTTTTTTACTTCAAAGGGCAGGGAGCGCACGGAAGAAGTCTGCGCTAGCATAGAGCGGCATTCAAGTTAAGATATTGAGGCATGCGAAAACAGACTTCACTAACGTCGATGTCGAGGAACTTTCCCATCTGATCGGGACGGGACGGCGCTGTATTTAGTCGGTATTGATCCGTATATTGATGTATTGATTTTATTGATTTTTCATTGATTTTATTGATTCCTTATTGACATTAACAATCATAATGATATTAATATTTCAGTAATATTCTTGCAATCTACCGTCTTGTATCATGACCACTATAGTCTGTCCATATCACGCCCGATGATGCAGAGTAGCGTCACTTGCATATCTCTCTCCCTTTGCGGCTACTTATTAATCAATCAGCTGTCCATCCATCTCACTCACCACATCAGTCTATTGATCCTGATCCACATCCGTATATTGAATATGATACAACTACCGGTGCTATAGCACACGGGCCCTCGGCACTTGATAAGCAGCAACCCTACCTTAGATGGCAGATGTGGACCTGGAAAACCCCCTCTGCAACACGTAAGGGAAGCGAGACACACGCATCTTACGAAAGAAAAAATAACTGACTGCATTTTTTTCTTTCGTCAAGAAAAAAATGCATTCCTTCGCTTCTTCGCTTCACTCTTATTGAAGTATCTACTCCGTATCTTACGCCGAAAAGTAAAAGGTGGGACAGGGGAGAAACGAAAACAACAAGAACAACAATAACAAAGAAAGGTGAAATGTAGGATTTCGTCTGAACCATCAGACACCAACAAAAGAAACATGTGAAAGTCCGAAGGAATAAGGGAGGGACACGTGCATGTAAATATTTGCCATAGCATGTGCACTTTTCACAGCAGGAGTAAGATAATCGTCGGCTCGCTTAGTTGGGCCTCCATTCATCCAAGACTGGAGAGAGGCAAGCAAGTCAGTCAGTTCCCAGAGCTCGCTAAATAAACGCGCCTCCTGATATGATTTGTTAACGGTAAGTCGTTAGCCGAGATAGCTTTCGTGTTTTTATATTGTTTATATTTTTTGATCTCTCTGCTTTTTTTTTTTCAATTCATGAACCATCAAGGAGCAGCAGCACAGGGCCGATTCCGCAGATGGAGCGAACCATGTCTGCGGTCCCAAGCACTGTGGACCCCCCCTCCC